TCGACGGCCGCAAAGGTAACGTAGTTCCTGGGGGGAGGGGGCATCTGCCGATCCGAACCACCCTTTCGGGATCGAAAGGAGATTGATGATCGAGAACTCGGAGTCTGGTTTTTTGAATTAAGTTGTCTCGATCGTTGTACCGAATTCTGCCGAGTTTCTGTTAGTTCGTGGTTGAAATTGTTTTCGACTATTAAAGTAACCCCCTGCTTTTCGACATAAAAAGGTACAGTAATGTTTCCATAATTGACGCTCCACAAAAATGGACAATTTTGGAAAAGGAGATACGATTGTTCGAGCCTCGCAGCTCGTTTTAATAGTTGTTGACAATTCGTGACTATAAAAATGAACCGCAAGACTCGAATAATCGTATCTCCACTTTCCAAATTGTCCACTTTTGTGAACAATCTAAGCGTCGATTAGAGAAACATTACTGTAGCCCGATTTATAGAGCGAAGAATCGGCGCGGTCAGGCTTTGGACCAGCCTGTAGATCGTCCTGTGGATCGCGCGCGTCGCTTCATCGGCCAAAAAGCTTCGGTTCGGCTCGGGCCTCGCTGAAACCGAGCCAAGCTCGGCAGCCGATGGGGATTATCGGGGGCAGGGTGACGACCAGAGAAGATCAGAGAAAATCAAAGGAGACCGAAGACCAGCAACCGAGCGTCGCGACGTATCGTTGGGACGCAGCCGAAACGGCGGGATCGGATCTCGGGCTCGAGCCCGAGTCCGTCTCGAGCCGATTTCCACGTGCGTAATTAGTTTTGACGGGGCTATCGATCGATCGGTCGGCCGCTCGCAGAACGAGCAGAACGAGGGGGCCGGTTTCGTCAGAGCGCGCGCGAGTAAGTGTCAAAGGTTGAGTACACTTCCTTGCAAGTGAGTCTAGGTCAACCGTATTGGGTCGATACTATGAAAGCAGGACAAAGAGGAGGACGGAGAGCGAGCGCTCGACGGGGAAAGAGTGAAGACTCATGGTGGGAGCTTCCGATGGGGCGGGACGCGGTGGAGAAGGCTCGGTGGGGAAGCACAGAGAGAGAGAGAGAGAGAGAGAGAGAGAGAGAGAGAGAGAGAGAGGGAGCCATCGATGTATTTCAGGACAAAGCGAATCGGGGAGCGACGGCGTGTGCCCGCCGACGCTGGCGGGGATAGACGCCACACGGATGGGGAGAGGAATTTCATGCACGATTATTAGGTGAGCGCAGAAGGTTCGTCGTCTTTATTTCCGAACAAAACGATCGTTATTATTAGGAGGTCGCAGAGGTTCCCGCGCGAGACCAGCGCTCGCCGAGATCCACGAGACCCACGAGCGCCTCTCTTCCACCATAGAGAGAGAGAAAGAGAGAGAGAGAGAGAGTTCCTCGAAACCGTCCGAGTCTGCGAGACAAAAGAGAGCCGAACTTGCCAATTTCCATCCGCGTTGTTCCCACGCTCGAGTGAGAGCGAGGACAGGGCGGAAACGAGGAAGAGGATCCTCCTGTTTGAGCCGTCGAAGAGGAGCCCGCCCGTGCGAACGAACGAGAAGCGCGAGCAGGAGCGCGCGCGCAGATCGGGATTTTCGAAACCGCGAAAACCGGGCCGAAGGTCTGGTTAGGTTGCATCGGCAACGTGCGCGGCACAAACATCGAGGCGACCCACATTTCATGGGGGAAAGAGTATCGCAAAGGCCGGCAAAGGGACCGAGACTGCTCGGGTCTGACTAATCGCGACCCTTTCCACTGTGGCGAACCGAGCTCGGCTTGTACGGCTGTACAGTGTACAGCGTAACATCTACCACGACCGAATGGCTCTCTCTTTCTCTCTCTCTCTCTCTCTCTCTCTCTCTCTCTCTCTCTTCAGCGATGCGTACGAGCGAGCTCGATCGGATTTTTCCCAGCCAGCGTCGCTTTTTGCCCCGGGAGCGATCCGGACCGCCCTCGGGAGTGTAACGCCACGCGGAAACCGTACTCCGAGGATCAAAAGATTCGCCGTTTCGCCACGGAACGCTATCGATCTAGTTTCCGAGGAGCGAACCTGCTCCGAGGAACTCCGGAAGAGCTCTCGCGTTTCGCACGCGATCATCGGTTGTGTACAGTAATGTCTCTCTAATTGACGCCCGGATTGTCCACTAAGATGGACAATTTGGAAAGAGGAGATACGATTGTTCGAGCCTTGCGAATTATCAATAACTATAAAAACGAGCTACAAGGCTCGAATAATCGTATCTCCTCTTCCCGAATTGTCCAAATTTTGTGGACAATCCGAGCGTTGGTAAGCGAGACATTACCGTATTCCTAAGAACAGCTCCGACGGAATTTTGCTCCGACCTTTCGTATCACCGACGGATTTGCGGTTCCGGGAAACGGAATTTCGCCAGCGAGACGCTCGAAGAGGCGTGGCTTCGCTGGTTCCGGCTCCGGCAGAGCCGGTGTTCGCGAGCGTGTTCGAAAAAGTAGGCGTGGCTTCTTCGCTCCGAATTTTCCGCGAAGGGCCGTGACAACGTTCGCGGACTGGCCCAGGAGAACTCTGAGGCGGAAATCGCGACGCGGCGGCGTTGTAATCTCGCGGCTCCCTGTAACCCGAGATCCCGGTTGCCCGAGAAAATAAATATTCCCCGGCGGATAACGCGCGAAGACCCAGCGACCGGAGACCGGAGAACGGAGAACAGAGGAGAGAAGAGAAGAAGAGCGAAGCTAAAGGCCCGCGGCCACTGCGAGTTCCGTTTAATTTCGGTTCCCCCGCGTTGCTGTAACCCGAGCCTGTCTGGCTTCCGTTTACCACCGAATCGTCGGTGGCTCCCGTTGTAACAACATTTCCTCTCGGCTCCTTCCGCTCCCACCGACCTGCCCTCCTCTCCTCTCTCTCTCTCTCACTCCTCTCTTCGCTCCTCTCCGCGGCACGGCGATCGTCCTCCTCCTTCTCTAACCTTATCCTGCTCTTCTGCAGCGCGGGTTTTACGTAACCCGTGACACAGCCGTTCGAAATTCGACGAGCCAGACTATTCGCGCGATTCGGTGAGATCGATGGGTTTCGAAATATTCTCCGAAAGAGAAAAAGAGAGAGAGAGAATTCTCGCTAATCCGGAGAGGGAAAACTAGTCCGCGATGGAGATTTCTCCACGTGCGAGAGCTCTAATCGAACGGCAAGCCTCGCTATCCGCGAATCTTCGATCCGTTCTCCGGTTTTATCGCTCCAGTTTCTGTATCTCCGGCTTCGGCTCCGGCCGATCGTCGACGATGCATTCAGGTCAGACTCGTCCGAGGTGATTCGAGGCGACAATCGTGTGTTCGCAGCGTCGTAGACGCGTGTGCGTGCCCGCCTTTCTGCTCGCAGCCAGCCAGGGAATTCCTAGAGGCACCGGATCTCCTCCTCCGACGTCGCCGGGAGAGGATCGGAAGCGAGACGAGACGAGACGAGACGAGACGAGACGATACGATACGGACCGGGACGGAACGGAGCCACGAAAATATTGATTTTTCGTGGGACACGGTGTACCGCGGGTCGCGAGTCGCAAATACCGGACGCGTCGTTTTTTTTTGTTAGGCGATCGGCCTAACCCATTCCCCGATGAAACGGAACGTTCGCTCTCGACGCGGCGCGGCCTTCGTCCTTCGCGGACCACGGCGAAGAAGACGGAGGGAAGAAGAAGAAGAAGCGAGCTCGGTAGGCTCGTCGTCGAGGGGATTAAACGGACGTCGGAAGCGCGGCGGACGCGGAAGCGGCGATCCAGAAGAATATCCGCGCGCGGAGTCATCGAAAAGAGATTCGATCGACGCGCTTTCTCCTCCAAGGGTACGCGAAACAAGCGAACGAAATGAAAGGGAGGGCGTGGGAGCGAGATGGAGACGAAGAGTGAGAGAGAGCGCGAGAGATAGAGAGATAGAGAGATAGAGAGATAGAGAGAGAGAGAGAGAGAGAGGGCCGCGTTCGGCACGGAAAAGCTGCGCGCGGGCCGGCGCGATAATGCGCCTGCTCGATCCCGGGACACACGAGGTGAGTGAGAAACGGGGAGGGCTAGGCGAAAGCAGCGAGGAAGGAGTGGAGAGAGGAGCAGGAGGAGAGCATGGGGAGCAGGAGGAGAAGAGGAGGCGAAGGAGGAGAGGGTACAAGGAGACAGAGCGCGTCTTTGTCGGGGAAACGTTCTCCGTCTCGCTCGGCCGCGGTGTGTCGGGATCTGGCAGGCTGGCTGGCACTCCCGAAATAATGTTGAACCGCGAAGCAGAAGTGGTACAATCTAGGGGGGTGGCAGAGAGGATAGAGGATAGAGGATAGACGGTGGAGGCCGACGACGAGAGAGGAGCGGCGCAGGGGAGGACCGCGAACGCCGCTATGGTGGTAGCGACGGCGACGGGTATGGCGACGGGTTATGGCGACGGCCAGATGGCCAGGTCGGTCGAATCGAGACAAGAGGAAGCGAAGAGGAGCCGGCCGAAGGACGGGAGACCGTGTGCCCGTGCACCCGTGCCGCCGACGGTTACATAATTTTCGTAACGTCGCGGGGCGAGGGACCTGGACGGGGATCAGAAGGCGGCCAGAACGGGCACCCTGCGCACTCTCCTCGCCTAACCCGGGGAAATGGCGATCCGAGGGCTCGATCGGCACCAGACGACACGTGCTGCGATGCCGAAACCAACCCTTTCGCTCCCTCCCTCCCTCCATCTCTCTCTCTCTCTTCTCTTTCTTTCGCGTCTCTCTCTCTCTCTCTCTCTCCCGGTCATCCCTCGGCTCGAGAGACGAGGGAGGACACGGAGACTTTTCGGCAAGTAGAAATCGAACGTTCTCACGCGTGTACGCGAGGCAAGAGGGTGGGGAGGGTTGGGCAGAGGGCGCGGGGGCGCGAGGGTGGGAGGGACAGATAGCGAGAGAGAGAGAGAGAGAGAGAGAGAGAGAGAGAGAGACCATGCGTGTACGTGTGCGAGGTTAAGAGGGTAAGAGGAGACGAGAGGGCAAGAGGGGAATACGGAATGGCGAATCAATCGGCGGAAGGTTATAGAGAGCAGGTGCTGCGGATCGGTGTGGTCTACTCACCGCGGATGGTCAGCAAGATGTCTCGGTGTCGTTTCCCGGTGGCAAGAGAGAGAAATTTGATGTCACATACGCCGCTTCATCAGGCCACTGCGCGCCGTTTATACCACTCTGGTTAGCGATTCGCGCTTGCCACTAAAAATATACTCACTTGCCGTGGTATGCCCCCGCTTCACGTCTTGTACCGTGACCGACACATTTATCCGCGGTTTCGGTGGCACTCGTACTCGCAACCACGAACGAACGCAAAACCGTACGTACGCCGGAACGAAACACGGGGTAAAGAGCTAGAGCTAGAGCTAGGAGCTAGAGCTAGAGCTAGAGAGAGAGAGGGATAACGTCGTCGCGAGACAGAAACGGGGGGTACGGTCGACGGCGAGAAAGATAAAGGGAGCGAGAAACGGTGAGATATACGCTCGCTCGATTATTCCCTGGACGGGGAATATATGTGTGTCTCTCTCTCTCTCTCTGTGTGTGTGTGTGTGTGTGTGTGTAGACCGAGTCGCGGACGCACCAACTGGCGGAGAGAGAGTAATCGACGAATCCAACGAACGATACAAACAACGGAACGGAACGGAACGTAACGTACGAACTAATACGACCGACCGCCCGGCTGCTCTCTCGTTCGCAATCGGTGCGTGTTGCCGGCTGCCGCCGCTTGTCGCCGCTGCTGCCTGGACACGGCCGAAAAGGACTACCGAAAACAAGCAAAACAGGAGGAGGAGCACGAAGAACGAACCGCGGAGGAGAGAACGGAGGAACGTGTACGGCGCGTAACGCGGAACCGTTCGGTCTCGATCTCGATCTCGACACGACTCGGCTCGGCTCGACACGACTCACGAGTCACCGATTGGTCCCGCTCCGTTACCAACGATACGGACGGACGGAGAACAACGTTTCGGGATCGAACCAGAGGGAGAGGAGGCGAGAGACGCGGCGGCGAGAGACGAGAGACGAGACGAGACGAGAGCGAAATCAACCAACCAGCCAGCCAGATCGACGGAGATAACGGAGCGACGAACAACCCCCCCTCTCCCTTCTTCGTTTCGTTTCCAGGTTTCGGTGATCAGCCCGCGCGCGCCAGATCGAGCTCGAACGCCTCTAGTCGACTAGCGAACGCGCGAGACCGTCGGCGAACGAAAAGGAACCCGAGGGAGAGAGGCCCGCACCGCACGAAAATACACGCGGCCCCCGGAACACGGAGAGCTTTCGTTCGACACCCGACCAGAGTTCCCGACCAGCCAGTGTAACCGACGGTAGTATTATGTGTGTAAAACACTGACGGTCCGGTCGGGGGGAGGGGCGCGCAGACCGCGGGGAGGGGCGACGCCGAACGGGTGGGGGAGGAGAAAAGGGGAACACCTCCTCCTCTCGCTCCTCCCTAGTCCACCCTAGTCCACCCTAGTCCTCCCTAGTACTCCCTGCCGTCCCAGGGGCGGGGGTCGAGAAAGGACGAGAGAGAAGAAGCTCGGGGGAAATGGGACTCGGTTTCGAGGGCTCGAGAACGACGGTGCGACCACGAGAGGAGACATCCGGGGGAAGGGGGAGAAGGTGAAGGGAGGATTCGGAAGGGACCGTCGACAAGATTTCATCCTCCCTTACTGTTTCCTCGCGAGGCGCGAGCTGCGAGAACCGAGGCACGAGGCGCCGCGCATGCACTGACGACCGACGCACGCGATTCCCTTTTCCCCTTTACCACCCGCATTCTCTTGCTCTCGGGCCGTTTTCCCGACACCCTCCCGCGAGCTACGTCGGTGGGAACACACTTATACCCCCGGGCACACTCGGTTTATCGTGTCCCTACGGTACGGGTATGTCGGGTATCTTTAGACGCGGCGAGGACGCGTTCCGCGACCACGGCTCGCTCCTATTCTCTCCTCCCCTCTCCTCGCGCTCTCTCACTCTCTCTCTCTCTCTCTCTCTCTCTGTCGCGCGCGCAGGGAGTCGAGAGTCGAGAGAGCGATGGCGAGACTCGGCCGGAGACGTCTCTCGATCGGCACCGTGGACCCTCGACTCTCGAGGGTCGCCTCTGAACAACCCTGTCTCGCCGCCCATGAATATTTATCCGATCGCAGGCGAAACAAAGCGGTTCGATATTTATGCCGCGAACGTGTTTCCCGCCGCGGGATTCTCGGAGCGAGGCTCTCGAGACTCGATGGACGATTCGCGATACGCCTATGCCTATGACAGTGGGTATTATCGTGCGAGCGTGACGTCAACCGCGAACCGGGACCCCTGGTTATCGGTAGCGAGGAGCCTCGATGAATCACCGGAGCGAGTCATATCGTGGTCGGCGGTCGCGCGTGTATCCTGTCATCCTGTGTACACGCGACGACGCGACCGAAGCGATCCGTATACCTGTTGTCGCGCGGGCTCTCTCGAGTCTAGATGCAGGCGTGCGAGTACACACGCGCGCGGATGTGTGTCTCGCCTGTCGAGTCGTGTCGGTGTGCAGCGCACGCGGAAAAACGGAAAATACGGGGGAGGGACGGAGAAAGAGAAATCGAGATAGAGACCAGTGTGGGGCCCTTCGGTGCGAAGTGGTGCGAACCACTGCACGGTCAGCACGGTACTGCGGTCTCCGTTCGACTGCCGTGCCTAAACTATTCGAAGCATTCGCGATCGGCGCGCAGGCGCCACACGCGGCACGCGCCCCGCTCGGCTTCGCTCTCTCAACCCAACCCTCTAACACACTACCCCCGATTCCCGGTCTGTCTTCTTCAACGTTTCTCACATTTCCCATTCATCCGACACCCTAATGCGTTTATCTCGATCGTTGCATCGAAAATCAGCCGACGATTTCATTCATTCCACCGCGAGGAAACGCACGACGCTTTCCGGTCTCTCTCGTCCCTATGAAACCTATAGGCACCAAAGTCTGTCTCTGTGTTTCGCTTCGTTTCGTTTCGTCTCGTCTCGCCTCGTCTCGACTCGTCTTTCGTCGCCTCGCGTCTCGTTCCGTTCCGTGTTTATGCGCTGTCCAGGATCGCCGAGGCTCTCCCCCCTCCCTGTCGCGCGATCCTCGCCCGCCCCGCCCATCGGAGACCACGCGCGCACACTCGAGGGAAATGTCAAAAACCTCGAATGCTTTCCGGTGCGAAAAGATCGCGCACGATTCGACGATTCTCGGTTATTTCTTAATAACTCAGGCATGCTTTTCGGACAGGTTCGCGGAATCCTGACTGGCCTGCCGATGCCGACGCCGCCTGGTCGCGCGCGCGTACAAGAGAGAGAGAGAGAGAGAGAGAGAGAGAGAGAGAGAGAGAGAGAAAATGCCAGCGGAATTATGCACCGCGAGACGTCCCTGACCCGTATACGGGATCTCGAATACGGGTTACGATTTCTCTGCTTCGTTCTCTGTTTGAATACCTCTCCTCCTCCGCGCCTCCTCGTCAACACCCGCCTCCCACCGATCGGATCTCCCTGCTCGCCCCGACGTCCGTGTTTTCTACGAGCCCGAAAGGTTCGATCGGAAACCAGGATTTTTCCCATTTCTCCAGGGAAAGATTTCCGCGTCGGGGCCGACCGACGATTTTTCATCGGATGCGGAATGCGAAACGAGAAACGAGAAACGAGAAACGCGCACGCGTTCGAGAAACCACGGAATGCTTTCTGCCAAGAAAAATCCAGCAAGTCCCATTCCTTGACCATATTTTCTGGTGCGTCGCATGCGCGCGCGAGCCGACCAGTGTGGGTTGGGTTTTTTAACGATCGAACGAGCTCGAAAACGCGTTTATCTCCGTGAAATTGTTCTCGTTGTTCGGGATCAACTTCGAGCAGCGAGCTCGCAGGCGAGAGCAATTCGTCGGTCGGGGGAACGGAAGAAAAAAATTATGATACGCTTATCGGCCGTTTTCCGGTTCGAACGAGTTCCCAACGAAACGAAACTGGTGGAATTCTGACGTCACGCGACCGTATTAAAACCAACGCGACGCGAACGCCGCCGTTAATTTCGACGCGCGCGTACATCCAACGGCGAAATTAATTTCATTGCCGCGAATTAATGCGATCTATTTCACTTGATTATCGTGTAGCGTAGACGCACCGGTGACGTCAAACGCTGCGAACGTCACGGGCACCGGCCGGACGGACCGTTCCCAACGAGAAAGGAAACGCCAGTTTTTATGAATCTCGTGTCCTGCCGTCGCGTCTCCCTCGTGAGCGTTAATAATCGGACAAGCGGTCACGAGGCATTCTTCGTGCGGCATGGCATAACCCACTTACAATTAGCAGCATTTCGCGTTCGAAGGTAAATGGTGTTCGAGATGACGCGTATCGCGCGAGACACACTCGCCGCGCCATCTCGCGAACGCGACGGCAAGTTATCGTTTCGAAATATCACCGTGGCCGGTAAATCGGAAATCTCGTGACGCGCGGCCGGTAAACGAACCGGTCGGTACGCGCGCGCGCGCGCCGTTTGATCGCATTCGAACTTGCACCCTTTTGAATTTGCCGCCGTTACGACCACCCCCAGACTTCTGTGTTCTAATGAGGAATATATTTACACAGTCTACTGTTCACGGATTTTTTAACCCGTCGGAACACGATGCGAGTTTTGGTTTCAACGAATCGATTACGATCGTCCAACGATTACGATGCTCGATAATATTCTAATTTATTAGCATGACAGATTTAATTAGAATAATGTCACACATAGATTAACGAAGTCGATCGTGGTTTTACTTTTACTGTCACTCTCCTACTCCGGGCGACTACGATGATTCGAACCTAGCAGAGAATCGGATAACGCATAGTTGTACGCTTTGATAGCGCGAGTAATGTCTAAATGGTTTCAAAATGTTCAACCGCCAAATACTCGNGCCGACGCCGCCTGGTCGCGCGCGCGTACAAGAGAGAGAGAGAGAGAGAGAGAGAGAGAGAGAGAGAGAGAGAGAAAATGCCAGCGGAATTATGCACCGCGAGACGTCCCTGACCCGTATACGGGATCTCGAATACGGGTTACGATTTCTCTGCTTCGTTCTCTGTTTGAATACCTCTCCTCCTCCGCGCCTCCTCGTCAACACCCGCCTCCCACCGATCGGATCTCCCTGCTCGCCCCGACGTCCGTGTTTTCTACGAGCCCGAAAGGTTCGATCGGAAACCAGGATTTTTCCCATTTCTCCAGGGAAAGATTTCCGCGTCGGGGCCGACCGACGATTTTTCATCGGATGCGGAATGCGAAACGAGAAACGAGAAACGAGAAACGCGCACGCGTTCGAGAAACCACGGAATGCTTTCTGCCAAGAAAAATCCAGCAAGTCCCATTCCTTGACCATATTTTCTGGTGCGTCGCATGCGCGCGCGAGCCGACCAGTGTGGGTTGGGTTTTTTAACGATCGAACGAGCTCGAAAACGCGTTTATCTCCGTGAAATTGTTCTCGTTGTTCGGGATCAACTTCGAGCAGCGAGCTCGCAGGCGAGAGCAATTCGTCGGTCGGGGGAACGGAAGAAAAAAATTATGATACGCTTATCGGCCGTTTTCCGGTTCGAACGAGTTCCCAACGAAACGAAACTGGTGGAATTCTGACGTCACGCGACCGTATTAAAACCAACGCGACGCGAACGCCGCCGTTAATTTCGACGCGCGCGTACATCCAACGGCGAAATTAATTTCATTGCCGCGAATTAATGCGATCTATTTCACTTGATTATCGTGTAGCGTAGACGCACCGGTGACGTCAAACGCTGCGAACGTCACGGGCACCGGCCGGACGGACCGTTCCCAACGAGAAAGGAAACGCCAGTTTTTATGAATCTCGTGTCCTGCCGTCGCGTCTCCCTCGTGAGCGTTAATAATCGGACAAGCGGTCACGAGGCATTCTTCGTGCGGCATGGCATAACCCACTTACAATTAGCAGCATTTCGCGTTCGAAGGTAAATGGTGTTCGAGATGACGCGTATCGCGCGAGACACACTCGCCGCGCCATCTCGCGAACGCGACGGCAAGTTATCGTTTCGAAATATCACCGTGGCCGGTAAATCGGAAATCTCGTGACGCGCGGCCGGTAAACGAACCGGTCGGTACGCGCGCGCGCGCGCCGTTTGATCGCATTCGAACTTGCACCCTTTTGAATTTGCCGCCGTTACGACCACCCCCAGACTTCTGTGTTCTAATGAGGAATATATTTACACAGTCTACTGTTCACGGATTTTTTAACCCGTCGGAACACGATGCGAGTTTTGGTTTCAACGAATCGATTACGATCGTCCAACGATTACGATGCTCGATAATATTCTAATTTATTAGCATGACAGATTTAATTAGAATAATGTCACACATAGATTAACGAAGTCGATCGTGGTTTTACTTTTACTGTCACTCTCCTACTCCGGGCGACTACGATGATTCGAACCTAGCAGAGAATCGGATAACGCATAGTTGTACGCTTTGATAGCGCGAGTAATGTCTAAATGGTTTCAAAATGTTCAACCGCCAAATACTCGGCGGGACAAGATGGTCACCGTGTGCCATTTCGAATGCGTACCAGCAATAGCGAGAAATCGTGTTCGGTCGGAGCGAAGCTTGATTTTCCAGCATAATTATCGAGAAACGTTAAGACAAGACTCCGTTCAACTTCGCGGGAAGGATACTCGAGGTTGGCAAACATCGCGATCGAATCGGATAGCTATGTACTGACAAGTTCGCAAAGCGTCACTCACCGACATTGATTTCTGATGATTTCCATGGCCACAACATGCACCCTGCTCGTTCCCGTGTACCGTGGAGGTGTGCTGCTTCCTGTCGGGGACGAATCTTGACGTTTCACACAGGTTCAATCACTAAAACCGACATTAATCGTTAACACTGACGGGAGAAAAATTTTTACGATCCTCACTCGACCACTGCTACGCGCGAACTGTCCTCCCACCCGTTACCTCTGCGCACCGTACGCGAAATCGTCCACCGCGCAACTCCGACTCAGGAACGTAAGAATCGTGTGCTTCGTTCGAATAGAGAATCGTTCGAAATTTCGTTTCATCCGCGTCAATAATTTCGATCGATATGCAGGAACTAATGTTTCTTTACACGTACAGATCGTTTAGAACGATAATAGAAATTATATTTACGTTTCCCGTAACTTCTACGTATGAACGTGGCCCGATCAACCTGGTTTGGTTACTGTACATGTTGCAGAGGATTGTGGGTAATTTATTGTTAATCAGATCGCGGCGGCAACTATAATAATTTTGAATATTTTGACACAAATAGAACAAATGTATCGAATAATGAGATTACGGACACTGATAGAAACAACGAATTATAAATCAGATATATCATTGCCGTTATTATTAAATAGACATTTTAGTCGAGAGGAGGGGGAAATGGGAGGACCATGATTTTTGGATTCAGATATTAAACAACATCGTATTTTATTTAAGAAAAACTCAACTTTTAGTTTAAAGCACCATTTGTTCCTTATTGGTTAAACTGTTTAGTAAAACCTTTTCCGTGGTTACAGGACCATCTGCAAAAATAGATGACGGTTTCTACACATGTGGACAAAACTGCAAAACACAGGGATGAATGTTAATTAACGCGAACTTACCCAACCGATACCACTGATCTTTATTCCCAGCGTCTTTTCTTGCCGAGTCTAATGCATTGCGAATTGCGATTGGAATTGCACAACTCATGATAAGAGGTGGTTCGCCGATTGCTGTAATATTAACAACGTTAAGCATAGTGGACAATATTAACGTCATTGTCTCGTAATCGATACTACCTTTGGAACGGAGAACGCTCAATGGATTGGGCGAATTTTGGAAGTAGATGCGAAAATCGACAGGAATGTCTTTTGCTCCAGGCGGTTTATAATTCTACGCAAACGAAAATGTTCTATATAAAATTATCCCCGCAAAGAACAGTCACCAATATATTGCTAAGTACAAACCCAGGTTCTGTAATTTGTTAATGCGCCAGTCTTGGGATCGTAAATTAAGTCTTCAGAGGTCCAAAATCCGAGACCCATGACAAAGCCACCTTCTATCTGACCTACGTCTATTTCCGGATTCATGCTGACGCCAACGTCCTCGGTTATGTCCACTCTGTTCACAAGGTGTTGTCCAGTCAACATATCGACTTCGACTTCCGCTATTGTGACTCCATGGATTTGGTAAGACTTTATGTCGTCGTTTGGAAAATACCTGAAGATTTAAATGTCGTAAATGTTTAAATGATGGATATAGAAACGTTCCTATTTTACGCTAATATGTTGTTTCGTGCGTACATGTAACGCGCGCAAAGATCAACGTTCTTTTGATATGCTTTAAGTACTAATTCTTGCCAAGTGGGATTCTTTAGCTCCTTTTTTATGGGGTCCAGTCGTTGCAAGAGTTCTTGGCAAGACTTCATCGTTGCCTAAAATTACATAAAAAAACGTTCAAACGTGTTGCAATAGCTATGCGTTGAATATAACGTTGAAGTACAACTTACGTATGCGCAACTTTCACTGGTAATGCTGCCACCGGTCACAAAATTGTTCGGTGCCGTTAAATTGTTGCTCGGCTTGACGGTGACCAGCGACAAGTCGATGCCCAACGTGTGAGCTGCTATCTGAGCTACCTAGCAAGGAGATGCGAACGAGTTTAAGCGTGCAAATTGCATTTTTTTTTGCTTCTAATCATTACCTTGGTATTAATACCCTGACCACACTCGACGCCACCGTGTGTAACGGAAACGGTACCGTCGCGGGCGTAAATTGCAACGAGTGCGTTGAACTGTCCCCAGACAGTGAGGGGATACATCATCGGCACCAGCGCTATTCCCTTTTTCTTCCATCGATTTTCCTAAACAATTGTGACAACAAGCTATTCAACTACTCCTGTGAAAGTAGGACACACGCGTGCAATTGATCTCACATTGTTAAACGTTTCCACGGCTCTCTTCCTCATGTCATAGTCCGCTGTCTTGCGCAAATTTTCCAGCATAGGCTGCAACTTGTCCTTGTAATCTGAACTCATGTTCACCAGCCTCACCTCCAGAGGATCTTTCCCAACAACCCTTGAAATGTGCTCCATCAGATTCTCTACCATACCTAAGGCTTCCGTAGAACCTGTGGACAAGGTGGGAGGGTAACAACCTAGAAATAGAGAAGTAGATACAAACGATTGCTATACTTGGTGCTCGGCAGTAGGTGTTGCTTGGTAGATCAGTCTTCGCTTCGAAACCGTCGCAGGACCAGGTGCTGGTGTCATAGCAATTCTTCATATGTTCCGCCGTTAGAAACGCATGCATCTCGTTGAAACTGCAACCGGCGTTGCCCCAAATCTTCGCGTCCAAATACTGTATCTTCCCATTGTCGTCCACGCCGATCTCGTAGTCCTGGCGGGTGTCGTATCGCTTGCCTATCACCTTCATGTTGCTCTCTATGCTCATTATGAAACGTGCCGGTCGATTCAATTTGTAGCTGACCAACGCGCACGCACATGCTACCATTGTAGCTCTAGATATCTTCGCACCGTAGCCTCCACCCAATCGTCTCACATTCACGTTTATACTGTAATTTAAGGCTTCGGTTAGCATCAGACTAGAGAGATCCTTGTTCACTCTGTGAACACTTCACCTGTTATTCGGTATGTTTAGGAGTAGTGCTACGCTCGTTTGGATAAGATCCATGTGCTGCGAGGACGAAAAAATGTTCAAACCATCCTCGATTGGAACGCAAACGCAAGTCTGAGGTTCCATGGTGTAATGGTATTGACCGCCGCAGCGGAACACACCTTTCACCACCTGCTTCGTGTCCTTTCCTACAAATTGATATTTCTATTATATGTATATGATACTGTTACATTCGATATACTATTTGTACTCGACCAAGCACAAATCACCTTTGGTATTAGCGTCAAAATGTACTGTCTGTAACAGTCTGCTTTCGTCGTTGGACGCGATCACTTGTTCTATGTTGAATATCCCTTTGTCTTCCTTCACGTCAACGTAGGAGACCTTCACCTTCTCCACGGCCTCGTTGGCAATTGTGTGACTAATCGCGACAACCACGCCAACCGGCTGACCATTAAATTCAATTTTCTCGTCGGCAAATAACTACAAAGTACAATTGGCAATCTGACTACGAGGAAACGCACTGTAACAACTATCTAGGCTACAGGAATTTTTAGCTTCGTTTACCACTTCGTCGAACGACAACATCATCTGCTTACTGACCCCGGCAATGAATACGTTCTTGCCAGGAATGTCTTTGGCCGAGAAGAATGCAACGACTCCTTTCATTTTCTGGAACAGTTGATTAAAATTAAACGATACGATCTTGAAAGAGCATCCGAGCATCGATCCAAACGAAATGACCCACCAAGGCTTCGGAGGCGTCGATGCTTCCGACCTTCCCATTGGGCACACTGGTGAGAACGAACGCACAGAAAACTTCATTGTGCATAGGTGGTAGATCGTTCATATACTGCGCTTCACCGGAAGTCTGATGGGCTGACTCCATCTTTGGAAGCGGTTGATTCAGAGGCCATAAGTTCTTGTCCGTATCATATTCCTGTTTTCCCGAAGACAGTTCACGCTCCAAAATGGTCCCTCCACTACGTACCTTCGGGTCCACGTTCTCCGATTTTAAATTGATGAGGAACTATAAAAATTCGATACTTATGAAATTACTCCTTTTAATCCAGGAACATCTAGAACGATTCGCACCTTGAAGAAGAGTCCTTCGGCAAGAGTTTTCCTAAATTCTGGAGAGTAATCGGGCAACACGTGATCCGGAGTCAATTCGGTGTCCAACTTGTCCAAAGCTTGTTTAACAATGTCCTTGTTGAAAACGGATTTGTCGATTAGAAAATTCTCAGTATTTGTCGCGTGCAGCTGAAATCAACGTTCGATCAACGACGAGTTCGAGTTACCGAAGTCTGAATTTGTATCACTGGAGATAATGTCGCTTACAAAATCTTTGTGTATACCACCGAATATGATGTTCGGCTTTCCCAAAACTTTCCCAGTCCTGTCTAACTTCAGCAGGAAACCAGCGTTCACGTGGGCATGGGCATTCTGAGCTCTTGGCATAATCTACCGGACCATTCTATGTGTTATCTCTATCCGGCTTTCTTAAGCTGCAAAATTATTTGTTAACAAATAAAGTATACCTTGAAAGATCTGTACGAATATTCGCTTCCAAGCGCAGGCAACACTATGCTGTATATAAGTTTGTGCTTCATGTCGTACTTTAAAAAGTCCAGGAAGTTCATGCTCTTCTTGCCACCGGCATCCACTGTTTAAAGAAATCTAGCAATTAATTTAAATGGGAATTAAACTAGAAATTGAAGTAGACTACTCACGAACGTGTATCTGAGCGCCGGCCGTTTCAAATATTAAGAACAGATCTGAGGGAAATTCGCGATGCTGGTGTTTGATCATCAGGTTCCCAGCTAGAGTACCGATCTACAATCAGTCGACAATATGTAATAAAACACCGATTGTTTAAGTGGCTCGACACATACATTTCGGACGGGCACGCTTGCAATTAAATCAATGTGACTGGCTAGGTGTTGCAAGTACCCGAATTTCGGTTCCTTCGAGTATTTGTTGAAAGTATCCATGGCCACCGTGAGAGAGACACCGCCACCAATGGTTAAAGAGTCGCTCTCCTTGCTTATGCGACGTAGATCGGAAATGTCGTTTATGTCGATGTACATATCAGGTACTTTCAGTCGGTAGACACCTGCAAATAGACGATATAATAAGCAATACGCGTGTTACAGATCTTTTCTAGGTACCATAGGTTTACCGTGAGCGGTATTGCCACCGTGAAGAACATAGCTAGCATCAGGATTGTTTCGAAACACTTCGAACAAAGTGTCTACCGTGAGAACTTTATGGAACGCTGATCCACTTAATTTAATGTTGATCGCAGTGTCTGTATTCTGATTGACTGCAGCGCACCCGTTGTGACCGTTTTGGCATGGTTCACCGGTTTTCTTGCATATCTTCATTTTGTACAATTCCTATCAAGAAGAAACTCGATTAGCGAGCGCTCGACGAGTTCCCCTTTGATTCGTTCGCACGATTCACCGACTCACTTCGATATCGTGTATCTCCTTGACCATTTCCTTGGGAGCATCGGAAGCGAAGCTCTTGAACGTGTCCAAGATTGGCCTGTAGCCGGTGCAGCGACAAATGTTGCTGCCAAACGAGTTCTCTATCTCTTTCATGGTCAACTTCTTGTCTTGTAGAAGACTGTACATGTTCATCACCATGCCTGGAGAACAGTAGCCGCACTGGGAACCATTTTTCTGCGCCAGGGTAGCTTGCAAAACGTGGTAGCCATCCTTTTGGTTGCCTAGTCCCTCGATAGTCTTGATTATCCAGCTTTAATTACAATAAAGTCGCTACTATACGAAAGTTTTTGCTAAGAAATTGGTCTAAGCAAAGAAATAGAAGGCTCGACCCACCCTTGGCAAATCAAAACTGGTACTAAACAGGAGTTTACAGACATTGTTACGCCATTTACTGTTGCAGATACAATGCAAGCGCCGCATCCACCCTCGTGGCACATGGCTTTGGTTCCTCGGAGCTTCGCATGATCTCTGATGAACACGTTCAGGGATGTTCCAGGTAGTATGTTCTTATCCACTGTGAAGAAATTTTATATAAATACTTTTGCTCTGCCTGTAGATTCTGTAGTATAAAACACGTACCGATGTATGGCGTTTCATTGATGGTGAATTCCACGGTGGACTTAACATCCCTGAAACAATTTAGCAGTTTTACATATTATTTAGTGAAACATCATTGTGGTCTTTTATTACGCGTCGCAATATTCGTGCGCATTTAAAAACGTTACTGTTACATTATGTCAGAAAATGTTCTTTCATTTTTTTCGATGTTTCCATCATTGAACACACGATTACCAAGCGTTTCATTATCTAACTACTAGTAAGACTACATTCTTAGAGTAATATTGCTTCAATCAGCACATATCAAATCGTTATTCAACTTGATAATGTCCTATATTAGAGTCTAATCGGGTCTGGTAGATTGCGAGCTATATAAACTAAATTAAGCAAGGCTCGATGCATACTGCCGCATCATGAAATGACAGACTCTCTGTTCTTTGTAAGTAATTTATTCAGATAATTGAACAATTAATTATCAATCTTCTGTCATTTCCTCGTAACTGAAGAAACTTGTCAGGAAAATCAAACTCATCTTCAGCCAACAACTTTTCTATAATTATACTTAGAAGCTAACATCCATCAGTTCGCACGATTTTCATTGTTACATTGTTTACTAGGAGCTCGGATGGAACATTCCGCTTTCTGAAACATGGTAGATGCAACAGGATTACATAACATCCTATGAATTACAATGTAGAGTCATTTAGCGTTTCAAGAAGCGTCTCAGAAATATATTTAACGACGCATCCGATTTCAAGCATTTTACGATGCCGATGTAGAGTTTATCGATACAGAGATTTTAGAGCCTAAATTTTAGGCTTATTAAATTTGAATTAAAAGTGTTTAAATTGCGCAAAGTTTCGCAGTCCGGTGATAATTGTAGAAAGGGTTAAAGGGTATCTCTCGCATTGCCGATTACAATTCGTTAAATTACAAATTACAATTCCTTAAATGAATACAGTAGTCGATTCACTTTCACTCTTTGTGAAAGGATGCATTAACTGCAACCGTTCACTCCTTTGTCGAGTTTACAAACACCAGTATAGGGTCGCGGAGATGCGTTCCACTTTCTCCAAAATTTTTACAATTACAATATTCCAAACATCCTCTTCGGATTTTAATATAGCTACGAATAATCGACTAGTTCTTGTTTACATGAAATGATTACTCTGATTCATCCTACATCTCGGAATAGTTTATTGTAACAAAAACTCACCCAACACCTCCTTTGACGCACTGCATGATAGGCTCTAAGTCGACCGACGCGAACAATGTATACACGAAATACAGGTGGTGAAAGCAAAGATAAGCTACAACACTAATTACTGACAACGATCAATCGACACCGGCAAGTTGAAAGCAACCAGTTTGACCGATGTGACGGCTGTGACTCGTCGAAAGTCATGTACTTCTTACACTCTTGCAGCGCGACCTCCCACTACTGTTTCTGCAATAAAAATGCTTGCATAAGTGACATATCATCTACGGACCCCTGTGGAAACTACTTTTAACGATACCAGCTCTACCAAAGAGCTCGAATTACGTTTATCATTTTGTTACCTTGTAATTTCATTCTCTTGGTCGTACAGAATCCAGTGTTTACCCTTCGTGTAGAACTTTAATGCAGCCTTCGTTAAATATACTGATTTCTTATAATATAAATTTTCAATACTATATTCTTCTACCTTGTACTGTTAATTGTTGACCTTTTAGACCGTTGTTCTGTAGCGTATGCCTAATGAAAAGAAGTGGAACAATATAATAATTATTTTTTAACGTGACTTTAATCATTGAAGAATATAGATAGTATTTTTTCAGTGAACTTAATAATATTTTTGCTGGTTTCGTTCTTTTTTTTTCCTCCGTTGTCGGACGGCCTAGGATTAGATTCTAACAATTTCTTGTACAGTTCTGTAAACCTCAGACTCCTGAAAATATATTCAACCGGAAGGATCGAACATCAGAGTTTTGGGACTTCGAGTTTCTGATAGAAGACGAAGAAGAAGAAACAGAAGACATCGATCTACCTGCCCCCCCCCCTTCTTCTTCTTCGCGCTCATGATCTCCGAGAGATTAGTTCAATTAGACGCAGTTGTGCCTATCAGACGACAACTGAGACTAAGACAAGAGATTTCAGTTCCGCGCACGCAAAGTAAAGAACAAAGAATCATCAATTTCAATAAATACTCTATTAAACGCCATTCATGTTTACATAATAATCGTTACAACATATCCGTAGCGCATAATGACGTTCAATGACAATTAATGCAAAGTAAAATGGTAAATAATAGCGTCTCAACTAATATTACAAGACTCTGGTACACAGTATATATCTTTTGTCCCATTGAAATCGATAAGAGCTTCGCACGCGCGCGCGCTTATCGCTACCGTTCAAACAGATGGGAAGAGAACGGAAAAACGAAATAACGTAGTATGATATAGGTGTGTTACATCCGTATTGTGACCCCGAGAAAATAGCAGCTTCTTCGTCCCCTGTTCGACTCCTAGACTACCCGATACAGTCTCGATAGAGCTTGTCCATTCTCATGATAATTTGTTCGTTAAACAAAATATGTCCGCTAAGTACTAGCGACTTTACAGGCTCCTCTAGGCTGACACTCTTAACGCGTTCACCGCTCTTGCTACTTCCATCGACCCGGTCTCTCTTCTAATCCTATAATGATAATATAAAAGTGTCCTTGAATTGTATTACAACGATAAAATGCCTGACAATGATAAGACACTTTTACCTTTTATGATCAATAAATTACGGACGCCTTGAACTTCTAGTGCAAACACCGATTTTGGCCCATTGGACGCGTCCAGATAAAGGATTGCTCTGCTCCAGGGGCACAGAGTGTGCCTGTTTTTTAAGCGTGTTTCTAGCAAACGATACGAAAAGAAATAATTCCTCGCAATTGACTAATTGGCAGACACGAGAAGTACAGACTCCCCGTTGACAAGGCGTTGAACGCGTTAACGGCGAGGTCGACGAAAGATTTGATATAGCGTTTCGTTTCATTATTTTGTCTCCGCTTTGAACATCGCGCGTTGTCTTCCGCTAACTTACAAGGGAGAGATACATAGATCGCTACTGCCTTATGATTCTCGTTAAAATATGCGTTTATACATGTACATGTAATATTGTCCTGTTACGCTCGATCACCAGTAAGTTTTCATTCTCTCTGCTTTTGCATCCGTTGGTGAACTGATCTGGTCCGAACTAACGTGCGTTAATATACCATTTGCTATGCTTCTACAAGTTTTCTCGTGTGATGTGAACGCTAGCAAACAAAGGTGCATCCGATTCTCGTGGTCTTTGAAACTTATTGGTGACCTGTTTCTCGCATGATCGATAGTTGTTAATTGAACGTGTGTGATTTATGACCTAATCTCCTATGGCCGTTGTTCTCGCCAAGTCCTAGAACCGTATTATAAAAGGACGCCTAAGCTAAGTAAGTCGCAGGCTTGGACCTGGTCGGGTATCAGGGGTGCAAATCCTCAAGGGACGACGCCTGAAAGATGTACACGTTCGTTTTGTTTTTGTTTTTTTTTATATAACACAGTTGAATCGACAAAAAAAGGTTCGCTTGGAGAATAATAAATAGACTATACGTTTTGCTGATCAAATGTTACCATTTTAATCGATTCCTTGTTCCACGAAGCAGGCCGCACAAAACTGAACGAAGTCATTTCTTTCCTGATATCTCTGACACGGGTGCCGATAATCCAATGAAGCTTCGCCTGCGCACCTCTGGCTTCTCACGGTCCAACTTTCAATCCCATCGAGACGTCGTTCCTGACAATCGGCATTGCGACATCGATGAGCACGTTATAATTAGTTCAATTAATGTTATACCCGACGTTTGCTGGCTCTGCTCTTGCGTGCCTAACGCTTTGCCTACCTAAAGTTTACGGTTCTTAAATGACAATCTGAAAAATCTGATCAGATTACGGTACTCGAGACAACTATATTTAGTTTATGAAATGAAATTGTCATCGCTACTAACAGATTCATCGAGAAATCCGAGATTACACGACTCTGATATGTAAATGACTGTGAAATAACTATCGGTGGGTAAAGCGTAAATTCTCCAAGCAAACGAACTCGGACTTTGTTCGAGAATATCGAAGAAAAAACATAATTTTGACGTTGAACCAAGCGTGGACGAGTGATCGCAGAGGTACGCAATGGCGTTCGCTCGCTTCCGGCGAACTCTAGGCTCCCTTTAGCAATTCTATCGTCTGTACACGAGCCATTCTCACGAACACTGTGGAAAAAAATGATTCACGAACAAATTGCGCGGTGCAACACCACGACAAAACAAGGTAAAACGCATTGGCGTAACGCGCGACCGATTTCGCCGCCCCCTTAGGATCCCTAACGGCCTCCGTTAACGACAACGGAAATAACGATTGTTCGCGGATATTCGGAGGCGATACATCGCGCGCGCACATGATTCGCAACGCGGGGAAAGGACGAGAACGAATCCCGAATTAGACCTTCGAACGGGAATTATTGACTATATTAATAGTACCATAATGAATTGTAGACTCGCGATATTACATTCATAATAATCATATGAGTATCATAAACCTTAACTTGAGTAGATAGTTCGTTCGAATACCTAATTAAGACAGTTCGGAACGGTATACGGATAAAGAACATTAGTGAGACCAACTAATATTCCACATTTTTCGCTCATGCTTCGTTCCCCATGCACGCGCTCGAACACACACACACACACACACGCGCGCGCGCGCGCGCTCATACATATACGCTCTCCCTCTTTCTATATGTATACCTATTTATATATGTATGTATATATATAGTTCTCATTTAGTATTTAATACTTTTTAACGAAGGATACGTCGTAACTGCTTCAGCGCCCTGAGTTGAAATCAGAAGATACATGGGTAAATAGTATGAAAAAATGAAATGTGGAGAGGGACACAGGTGCGCCAGATTAGTATTACGCCATATACATATACATTCATTTTTATATATACATATATATGTAAATATACATACATACATACATACATACATACATATATATTTATTTATTTATTATTAATTTGTTTAGATATTTATATCTTCAACGTTGAATCTCGCGCGCGAATTCGACTGCGTGTGCACGGCCACACGCACAACATGCGGTACGCAAAAAATTGTACAATAATTAATGTAGATGCATGCATATTCGGCCAAGTATAATCGAGTGTCTCAGAATTCTCCCGTTGAACTGCGCCAGCACGTTCACACGAACAACAACCGGAGAGGAGAACTTGGACGCTCGATAAAACTGATTCGCAGCGATTCGCTCCGAAGAGATTAATTGTTATATAGACTAATCGTATCTCGACGAGCGCGGAACGTGCTCATGCAATCTAGCCGGAGAACGACCTGGCTCACCCTATATACAGTGGCTCCAGAAAATACACTAAATTTCTGGTTCTCGACAAATTATTGACACTCGAACTGTTACAATCTCGTAAAAAACGAGTCACACAACGGTAAATCTCGAATCATTCTATTTTTTTCAATTTCTGTTCCATTTTATGCTAACATGTTTTTACATGAAACCAACGGCCAAAAGACCAATGACATCGGTTTACTCGAAAATATTACACACTCGATCGTCTCTAAAAAGGTTGAACAATTTTTTTCACGTATGGATTTACTATAGATTCCAATACCGAAGCTCCTCCTTTACGGAAAACTCCTCAAAATTTGGTGTACTATTTATTTACGTAAATTACAACAGTTGCAACATCGACAACTTGTCGAGAATCAGAAATTTAATGTACAGATACTTTCTAGAGTCATTGCGTTCATAGAATTTCCTCGACGTATGTACGTTTAGAATCATGACGAACCACCCATCTACGGGCTCCCTTGCGCCAACCAAGGAATGCTCGTTTACTCGACACCTTGCAGTACGTGTATAAAGCTTGCTACTATTTAAACCCCCTATTTCGTCTACGAAAAAAGGTTCTTTTCGCGGCCGCGGTTTTCGTTGACTTTCTCTCTCTTTCAAGCACAAAACAAACATCCATACACACGCATACGTTCATTCAGAATCTTTCCCGGCTCCCTAGCTAAATTACTGGAAAACGCTACAATGTCGATGCAGTACTATCACAGTCAACTCTTTTTACGGAATAGTCGCATCCACACTCATGAAATTCTAAACGCAATACGGTTCTCGTTCTCTAAGCGCTCTCTCTTCCTTTCTCTCTCTCTCTATCTCTCTCTCTCTCTCTCTCTCTCTCTCTCTCTCTCTCTTCTTCTCTTGCTTTAGTTGCCTTGTACAATTGTTCGTTTGTTAGTTTCTCTATGTGTGTCCATATACGTGTGTATAATTTTTGCAAGCGTGTTTACAATTGGAGACTATACATATATTTCTCGTGTTAAGGCAACCGCCGTTAAACCGAATAAACCCGTATATGCGATTATACTCGATCAGCATATGTAGAAATGTTAACGTTGGGATTGATGTTGTCTCCCGTTGATCGATGACGATGATCCACAGCATGCAGACACGTGTGTTTTGAGGGGGAACGGGGAGCCTGGTCGTCACGGACATTACGTAGAATAACGAGAGCAAGCAGGGCACATTTCCTAGGCATATTACACAGTATGTACAGAATTGGTGCTTCGTCCGCTCGGTTCTAGCCCGAACTCCTGAAAGCAGACAGAACAAATGTTGGCATCGTTGCGTGAATGTTAACGATATTTATTTAATAGACCCAACTAACGCTAAACGTTACGTGTCTCGGCAATTCTATAGCATTACTCTGACACTGTGTCGAATACCTCAGCGAGCGTCGAAGCCTCTAATTATTCTCTGAGCATGTACAAGACGCGACTATGAGAAGAAGAAGTTAGTGGATCAATCTACTTGGTGAGATCGTGTAGAGGATAGAAAATATCTCTGGGCTGTTAATCACAACGGAAGCGTTAATTACAGTTAATCAGAAGTATGTACACGGTCTGGTCGGTTCGTCACTGGAGACTCGCTACCGGTGAGGGAGGATAGATACCTAATCGCTTCACAGACCACCGAATGGATCGAGTTGGACCGCGTTATTTTGCGGTGGTTGCGCAGCTGTCTGTGGTTGTTGCTGTTGCAGTTGTGGTTGCTGCTGAAGGTTAGCACCCATCATGGGATTCGCATTGGGCATCATCATTGGCGCGGCTCCTCCTGCAACCATTATGCCACCGGGACTGCCAGGCATTACTGGCATTGCTGGCCTCCTGCAGGGCGCGACCATTGTTGAGACAACTTGCATTCCCTAGGGACACCAGAAAGCCGCCCAATCAGATCCAGTCTGTACTTTGTCTGGAACGTTTACCATTTTCACGTCCACCTGTTTCCATGTACCATCTTCTTTTTGGTATTTTTTTCGGATATCGTTCCAAGGACCGACCTTATATTTTCTAGGGTCGTGACAGAACGTTTATAGTGTACAGTATCTAGTTGTTAGTGTCTAATAGTGGTTCCAAGGTGGGATACAGTTGGTACGATGGCTTTAAGACTGNGAAAAAAGGTTCTTTTCGCGGCCGCGGTTTTCGTTGACTTTCTCTCTCTTTCAAGCACAAAACAAACATCCATACACACGCATACGTTCATTCAGAATCTTTCCCGGCTCCCTAGCTAAATTACTGGAAAACGCTACAATGTCGATGCAGTACTATCACAGTCAACTCTTTTTACGGAATAGTCGCATCCACACTCATGAAATTCTAAACGCAATACGGTTCTCGTTCTCTAAGCGCTCTCTCTTCCTTTCTCTCTCTCTCTATCTCTCTCTCTCTCTCTCTCTCTCTCTCTCTCTCTCTCTTCTTCTCTTGCTTTAGTTGCCTTGTACAATTGTTCGTTTGTTAGTTTCTCTATGTGTGTCCATATACGTGTGTATAATTTTTGCAAGCGTGTTTACAATTGGAGACTATACATATATTTCTCGTGTTAAGGCAACCGCCGTTAAACCGAATAAACCCGTATATGCGATTATACTCGATCAGCATATGTAGAAATGTTAACGTTGGGATTGATGTTGTCTCCCGTTGATCGATGACGATGATCCACAGCATGCAGACACGTGTGTTTTGAGGGGGAACGGGGAGCCTGGTCGTCACGGACATTACGTAGAATAACGAGAGCAAGCAGGGCACATTTCCTAGGCATATTACACAGTATGTACAGAATTGGTGCTTCGTCCGCTCGGTTCTAGCCCGAACTCCTGAAAGCAGACAGAACAAATGTTGGCATCGTTGCGTGAATGTTAACGATATTTATTTAATAGACCCAACTAACGCTAAACGTTACGTGTCTCGGCAATTCTATAGCATTACTCTGACACTGTGTCGAATACCTCAGCGAGCGTCGAAGCCTCTAATTATTCTCTGAGCATGTACAAGACGCGACTATGAGAAGAAGAAGTTAGTGGATCAATCTACTTGGTGAGATCGTGTAGAGGATAGAAAATATCTCTGGGCTGTTAATCACAACGGAAGCGTTAATTACAGTTAATCAGAAGTATGTACACGGTCTGGTCGGTTCGTCACTGGAGACTCGCTACCGGTGAGGGAGGATAGATACCTAATCGCTTCACAGACCACCGAATGGATCGAGTTGGACCGCGTTATTTTGCGGTGGTTGCGCAGCTGTCTGTGGTTGTTGCTGTTGCAGTTGTGGTTGCTGCTGAAGGTTAGCACCCATCATGGGATTCGCATTGGGCATCATCATTGGCGCGGCTCCTCCTGCAACCATTATGCCACCGGGACTGCCAGGCATTACTGGCATTGCTGGCCTCCTGCAGGGCGCGACCATTGTTGAGACAACTTGCATTCCCTAGGGACACCAGAAAGCCGCCCAATCAGATCCAGTCTGTACTTTGTCTGGAACGTTTACCATTTTCACGTCCACCTGTTTCCATGTACCATCTTCTTTTTGGTATTTTTTTCGGATATCGTTCCAAGGACCGACCTTATATTTTCTAGGGTCGTGACAGAACGTTTATAGTGTACAGTATCTAGTTGTTAGTGTCTAATAGTGGTTCCAAGGTGGGATACAGTTGGTACGATGGCTTTAAGACTGGTTTGGATGCGTGTAAAGGGATCCGATGCAACCATAGTGTATTTACAAGTATCTCTATGTACAATAGAAACCGTTGCATCGCTCTGACAATAGTTCGCTATGTACACTATAATCGGTGGTTCAAAGTGTATCGTCACGTGCAGCTTTCGAATAACACAGAGAAAGATACAGAATCTAATTAGAGAGACTAAACACACGTGTGCATTTCAACTGTACAACAGAGAGTCAATGTAAAAGCAGAGACAGAAAGTAGCAGGATGCAGCATAACACAGTGGAAACTCGAACATTATTCCTTAGGTAGGTAGTGATCAAGAATAAACGACTTCTTCCGCTGTTCGATCATCTTTTCCTCTATACAGATTTAGTTGGACTTTCGTTACATTTGTCCACGTGAAACAGATAGGACTTCTTTCTCGCAGAGTGTGTAATGCTAACTTACCAACGCTGCGTTGTGATTAGGGAAGGCCAGGGCAGTTGGAGGAAGCTGCGTCATTCCTTGACCCTGCAACAGCCATGTAGCATGCCATACGCCATGCATGCATTTTACTAAGTGCATCGGTCAACAATCACCTTCTGATCTATGTAATTCTAATTAGGTATCTTTATGCTTTAACCCAGCGTTGCTCTAAATCCATAGTTTCATAACAGTTTCCGAACCCTTTGCAAAGTATTGTTCACAAGAAAATGTTGAAAAAAAGGAAAAACTATGTATTGGGAAAATATGCGAGAATCTCTCTTAAGAATATGTGCCATGACTCGTAACAAGAACAGGAAAAAGTACATGTGTTGACAGTGATTTATCTGTGCGAAAGCTTGTCGAGCAATGAAGCAAGCGTGCCAACGCAGTGTTGCAGTTCACGATAGTGACCCCGGGTCAGCAAAGTACAAATTCTTTAAGAAACTTTCTCTGTTCCGTCGTTGAACTTGCCCTCCTCGGTTATCTATCGTCTAGCAATGTAATCTGGTCGTTCGGCACCGTAACGACAAAAATAGAACAAGCGAAAATGTTTATCGCGTCGCGACTATGCGGAAATACGTTTGTATAATAATAAAATCAGTGATCCTGATAACGAATAAGAACAGGCATGCGGATAATGGTTCAATGGCAAATGCACAGAGCAGATAACTTATCGTGCTCGTAGTGTTGGTAAGAACAACATAAACGGAACGCGGTTAGGGGCTCACAACAGTTCGGTAACAATCAAGAACAACGTGCCGGTATAACAACTGAGCTGACGATCCAGATCCGCTTACCATTGGACGATAACCAGCGCCTGTGGTCGCTGCCATAGGCTGAGGTGTCCATCCGACTTGACCACCAGTCTTCGCAGCATTCTTAGGTGAATTCCACTGCATTCCCCTAGAAATTCATTCGATCGTTACGCTTGCATATACAGAAAATTTACCAACAGTATTCGAAAGGCAGGGAAGACAGGATTTCAACTCACTTGACCTGTTGCTGCGCGCTCTTGTTGATAGTCAAATTCTGGGCAAGGCTAGCTAGACTGCTGTCCAGATCTCCGGTCAGGACTTTGCCCGTGGACGCCGCGTTAGGCTGCTGCCCGGCTGCTGAAATATGATTATCTCCAGCTACAGCGGCTGGCATCAGGACCGAGCCCATACCGTCAAAACCTAAGCAACATCTACATCAGCCAAAGCCCCGTAAGCAGAGAACCGAAAACGGCAAAAAATGCTGGTTACAGAAATAACAACGTAATTCTGTAACTGAACAAAAGCATGGATCTTGAACAAATAATAAAGTACTGCCGTTTATAAGATCGAACATAACTGTGCCATAGAATCTATAACTCGAAACAAAATGATAACGGTACTAATCTATTGCGACATACTATCCTCTGAATCTATCTAATGACTCTGTACAAGTCATGCCGAAGATGCCATGCTTCTTTTTTAACTGAACGTAGTGACGAAGTATAATCGGATCTACTGTGATGTGTACACGGTGTTAGATCGTGAATCAACCGTTAGAGTCTAATGAGATGAAACGTTCAAGCGAAGCAATCTACGATTCAACAAAGAAGAGTCGCTAATGCCGCGCTTATCGGAGCACGTACTCCGTTCCTATGGGACGTAGTACCAATTTCGTTAACAACTTCTCTCTGCGTAGAGGCTCAACGACAAGATGTTTCTATAATTACTAGAACGTCTTATTCTAGCCTAGTATCGCACGCTTGAACCGAGACACCGATCTACTCTAGCTGCTATCGAATCGGATGCAAACAGTACATTCTTGCCGGTCTCGATGGATATTCCAAAGCAACCAGCGACCAGCGATTAGCGATACAGCAACGTTTCCAAACACTCAAGCGGAGAGAACTCTGGATCGTAGCAACGACACGCGTTCTAATTACAAATGCTGAATCCTTGAACGCGTCACCACGAAACGCAATACAAAAGTGTCGAACAGAGTACGTAGGCCGGTGATCCGCGCTTAGCATCATCGATTCTCCTTGGAGGACATGCATAACAGAGCATAGAGAGAAAGAAAGGAAGAGAGAAAGAGAGATAGAGAAAGAGAGAAAGTGTGTTGTGAGGAAACATCTATACACTTCCTGTCACCTGAGATCGGCTGTTTTGCCGGGGAACCGTATCCAGCCGGGGCTTGGCTAGAGATACCGTAGCCGATCATCGGTCCACCAGGCATAACAGGCTGCCCGGTGGCTGGTATATTAGCGGCCATATCGAACATGCCGAAACCCTGTTGCAGAGGTTGCTGTGCTTGTTGCGCGGTTGGAATTTGTTGGGCGACAGAGGGTGCCGATCGCGACGGGGACCCGCCCAGTGCCATGCGAATGCTATCGTTTAAATCGTCGAAAGCGCTCTTGCCAGGCGCGTTGGGACCTTGACTATGTAACCCGGGTTTACCGGTCGTCGCTCCTTGGCCCGCCGGCGCGGAGGGTCTAGGAGCGTCGTTGCCGGTTGCAGGGGGCGGCGGTCTGGAAGGCGGCGTGGCGGTAGACTTGCCCATGGGAAGGTTCACCGAGGATCCTGGCTCGCCGGCAGGATCTCCGGCGGACCCATCCGCGGTCATGGACACCGCTGAGTCGCCTCCAAAGAGGTCCGATTGGCCGCCGGCACCGAACAGGTCTCCGGTCTGCGCCAATTGGTGACCGTCGCCGCCGATCACCCCGCTTCCATCTGCTCCACCAGCAGCCTGTTGCTGCTGATCGAACATACCAAAAGCGGAAGCGTTCGGCTGCGACGATTGCCCACCGATATTGGGAAAGTCGGACATGAATGGGTTCGGTACGGATCCGGACGTTCCTGGAGCACCAGCTTGCGCAAAAATCAAGGTGTGCATTGATTAGCTTCGGCATTCATGCCTCGGGTTAATTTTGCGTCTTTTTGGGTGATTAGAAGAATGGTTTTTTGCCTCGACGAGCATTATTGCGTGCACGCTCTCCGTAGGACGGTTAGGATGATGATGATGAGCATGATGATGATGGTGAAGATGTTGATGGTGGTGATGGTGGTGATGGTGGTGATGGTGGTGGTGGTGGTGGTGGTGGTGGTGGTATGTGGATGATCACGTGAGTAAGAAACATCGTTGTTCTTCTGGCTAACGCGCTGCAACATTATTCGCATTTAGTACAAGATCTTTGAATACAACTCTCTCTCTCTGTGGTTTTCTATTGGGAGGACTCTGTCTAGACTGCATAGACAAATCGAGACAGCGTTCTCTTCTTGGTAGAGTATTATAGAACATCGATACTTCTTCCTACGCTGACACAAGTGTCCCGAGATTGCTTGAGATTCGCTAGGCCCATACTACGAAGCACAGTTACTTTTACGGTTCGACCAGTTAAAATCGCTATCGAGTATCTGAACTATGGGAACGTGTTTTCCTTGTGTGTTGCTGGACAGGAATGTCCCTGGAGCATTCCTGCAGAAAATCTTAAAAGAGGATCAACTTGCACAGGCATCGTCACCTATGAATCTAGGCAATTTATAGTAAGATGCAATGATACAAGAAAAAAATGTAAAGCGATAAACTGTTTGCAGTATAGAGCACGAGGTATGTATATGTACAATGTGAACGAGGACAGAGAGAGATAGAGATAGATACAGATAGAAAGAGAGAAAGAGAGAGAAACGGTGCAGTATAAAATTGTTATAACTGAGATAGAGATAGTGAGATAGATAGAGAGAGAGAGAGAGAGAGAGAGAGAGAGAGAAATAAAGAAACAATGGATTTAATACTCACCAGACTGAGAGTCTTGATTACCGAATACGGAGGAGAAGCTATTATCTGTAACAAAGTTATTATTTGCCGGTGGTACTGCCGCGAAACCTACAAATCAAAAATGAAAAAACGAATGAAATAAACATAAAACGATCGAGAGAGAGAGGATACAGTGATCTGTACATTTGTTCGGGGAGAAACGAACGAATAAACAAACAAAAAAAAAACAAACTTGTATTTACCGTTACCATTAGTCATCCACATGTTGTTCTGTGGCTGCGCGGCTTGGGCAGGTGCAGTCTGCGGTGCACCAAACATATCCGCGAACGGATTTCCTGCCAGTTGAAGCAGATCGTCCGATGCTTTCTGCGACTCAAACCAATCAAATCAATTTCTGAACGTTAAAGAAGATTCGTCGTCGGTCTAAAATAAGCGTGGACAGCAAACGCTCTTTGCCCTTGGAAATAGGTGTGTCTTCTCTATAGTAACGCCCAAATAGGCGTGTTCCCTGTGAGTAGGGTAACGCCTACCATGAGTGGGCGTAGTTTCTTTGCTATCTCTGCCCATGCCTGATTCAGACGAGTATCAAGGATTGTCTAAATGATGCTACCTGAGCTTCATTGTTCGCTGCTGTTGTTGGTGCGCCAAATAAATCCACGATCGGCTGATCGGCATTGTTCGTAGGTGAACTGAGGAATGGGTTTGTGCTGGGTCCACCTGGTGGAGATTGTACCTTCGCCTGGAATTAAAAGGCAATGAGATACTTGAACGAATATACTTTGGCAAAGTAGACAGGTTCGCTCTCTAGATAGGAGCAGATGTTGGAGTACCTTGTACTGGTTCATCGCGGCCTCTTCTTCGGCGAGGGCCTGTTGCCTGAGCGCTTCGTCGATGTGTCCATTTCCAGTGTGGTCGAGACGATTATTACTGGCTGCTGTTCCAAACGCAGTACTGGTGGAAGACAGGGCGGACACTCCCGACTTTACATTCGTTCTATTGCTGCTTGGAGAATGATAGGGGGCGGGGTGTGGGCTTGGTGGGGGCGATGGGCGGGGGCGGGCCAATGGACGTGTCTCGATGGAGCGTCGTGGATTCACAAGGGGATAGGAACAGAGAAGCCGTTTTCAACGTAGACGACGAGTGTGGCCGAGAAGGAGCGAAAAGGAACGTTGATCATTGAAAACAAAGGAGAAGACAAACAAAAAAACAAAGAAACGGTGTAATATGTATAAAGATACAACGATGTGTAAAAGTTTTCAACTAATCAGTGCTCCCATACACGCACGCATGCTCACCAAGTCACTCTCTGTGTCTTTCTTTGTACATCTCTCTCGGCTAGACCATATTTAGCTGCCTACTATCTCGGTTATCCTTGTCTTTTCTTAACCCGTTAACCGTCAACGATTGATTTTTACAATATCAGAAGCAAGACAACGACGTAACAGCGTCTCTCGGGTGCTATTTTCAAAGAAAGGAGGAAACGACTCGGGCGAGTAGAACCGACGCGTAGACCCGTTCTACTCCGGTTAACGGGTTAAACGGAAGCACACGCAAGCGATTACTTTGAACTCGTTCCACCTAGTGACAATGTGTGTTACAACGAGCGAATAACACAGCAGAAAAAAGACGCTCCTTCTTTTATCTTTGCTACAGCTACAACCAACTCTCTCTCTCTCTCTCTCTCTCTCTCTCTCTCTCTCTCTCTCTCTCTCTCTCTCTCTCTCTCTGTCACCCACGCTCGTACACGCGCACGTACACGGACACGCTCTCTCTGGCAGGCGTACACTTACATACAGATATTTACTTGTGTGCAACAAAGTATCGCCTAGTTCGCTAACTTTTCTGGACGGGAGAACTTGAGGAAAAGAGAATTGTTAGGCGACGATCGAACGCTTTGGCTCGGTGATAGCAAACGAATCAATTCTGTTGGTTGTCAAGACAACAGAATTATCATCGCGAAGGTGAAGATTCAAGAATTATCTCACGACTCGGTGCACTTTGACAATGTGCTGGTTTTCGAAACTGTACAAGAACTAAGAATCGAAGAGAAAAAAAAACCTTGAACACTTGCGAAACGAACAACGGAAAGGATACAGAAAAACATAGTTTTTGCGCACGAAACTCAAAAGATTTGTAAGTTAAAGGAAGACTCAGCGAAAATATATATGTACGCACGCATGTATTCTACCCACCAGTGCATTTACGTATACATGTATACACATATATATGTACCAACGCTCAAAAGTTTCGGATCACTTGGATCAAATGTTGGAGCAAATGAGGAAAAAAATATGCCATACATACAACAAAGCGTCGTCGACTAAATGATCCACAACTTTTGAGCAGCAGTAGTGTATAGGGTATGCAGCTCAAACAAGAAAACTGGAAATGCTTCACCAATATCTAAAAGTGAAAAAGCAAACACAATTCAAATACAAACATATATATATATATAGAAAATCGAGAACTGCAACTATGTAGACCGCAACGTAAAAGACTAATCAACGGAAATAAAGAGAACAGGGGGTGTGGGGGTTGAAAAGAATCGGTTCAACGTGGAAGCGCATCTTTCTCAAGCAATAAAAAACAAATGACCACATTACCTTTCACCCTACAAACTGACAAAACATTTTGCGAGGAGAATAGAATATGATTATCGGTCGGATGATAAACGGGATTTGTATTTTTGTGTTTGTAGAATTTGTAGAAACGGTAGAAACGGCAGAAACGTGGGAGAAAGTCTGTTGGGATAGTCAATGCCTATTTCTTTGTTGATCGATGTGCGTCTGCGCTTACTTTTCTTTTTGCATAATCGATCTTGTTGATTTTTCACATAATACACTTTTACTTTGACAAACGAGAATATACGTTCAGATATCGCAAAATATTCTTCAAAGTTAGTTTCTGTTTACTCATACTCTGAACGTTAACATAAACTCGAATCGTATAGAGAGATTGTGATCGACATACCTTGCGGATTGCGTGGGCGTATTGGCCGCAGAGCCCTTCTTCCCTTCCAGGGAGGCAAGATGCTGTTCCAATGCGTCCAGTAAACTACTTGGGGCCTGGCAAATGTCTAGTTTTAATATCTCGACAGGTATTCGAATCGCTTCGATTATATGAAAAGTAAAATTAATCTGACCGTCTGAATTGTTTCTCTGAAAATTTAGTCTAGTGTGTCCTAATGTCTGATTACCTTTGTTAGATCAGGTATGTCTCCTTTATCGATTCCGACGTTCTGCAAACCAACCAGAATTAAAATTACTAGTAGACTTTACAGTTAACTGCATAAATTGTGTCTTACCTCGGCTACTTTCAAAAATTCACCGACCCGATCCATTCTTATAAGAAATTTCTTGTACAAGTCTAGAGCCTCCCGGCATTGTTTTTTATTCATATCAAAATACTTTTCTGAAATTCGAAGATGCAACGATGAGCAAAACCCAACGGACCAAACAAATCGGACTGAAATAAGCGAAACATTTTACCTAACAGATTAATAATGCCATCGTTGTAGCAGGCGAATAGTCGGATCAAGTCCCGAAAAAGAAGCATGAAAGCCATGTTGATGACTCCGTTCGTGAGATCGTTTGCTGTACAATCAAACTCCAATAACGCGTCTAGCTGCGATTGCAACACTGGCAGGGTCTTCAACAATTTCTCAGCGTTCATTGTGCGCAGCGTGCCCACCTCCTTCCTAGAACGTAAAAGGACATTAACGTTCCGATGGTGACGACACGATTATCATCTAAAAAATTATGACTCCTTACCCCCTTTTCATTTTACAAAAGTCGAACGCCACGGTCCTATAGGAGAGGGCCTTCTCGTTGAGGTACTTCGCGTATCGCCTGATAAATGGTGACATATCATAGCCTGACGAACAAGAGACACGTTCATTTATTAAATGTCAAAGCTACGTCGAAGGAACACCTTTCCAAGAGACATTTACAACGGACGATTGTTTATCACGAGGTTGACTAACGAATAACCCAATCGATGTTTCTCAAAGTCATGGGCTGACGATCCTTTAATGTCATCGAAAATATGCGTCCGGCTAGAAGAAATGTGGAATCGCGTTTCCATAAAGATGCGCATCGATTGTTCATTGTTGATCCGGTGAATCGCGATTCGATAAGTTTCGCCGGATCATCAGCCCTGGAGCGTTGTTTGTTCCGCGTGTAGGGGAGACCGAGAGGAATTAGTGCCGCCGGTGTAGACGTCCGAGTGCAACTGCAGCACAGGTGGAAGCGTGAGGGCATTATTAAAACTATCGATCCTGACACGCTCTCTCAGAGTCTCTGAACATGGGAAGAGTGAGTGAGTCACGCGACTACGATGAATAGAATCGTCTCGGTCTCCCCTGTGAAAAAGAAAAGAAGAACACTCTCAATTTAATTAGAAACCCAGAGACATATCCCAGAAGCGCTGTTGGTCCCCGGTACCATTTTCTCTACGTTCAGAATAATTCCCACGGCAAAGGGCAGACTAACGTTTTCCAATGGGAAATCAAATACCAACACCCTTCTATGTATGCTTCTGTAATTCTGTACTTCTGCGCCCGTAGGGACCCCCGCGGTTATTGTTAGGCTTATGGTTAGCACACGACCAAGGCAAGACAATTAAATATCCGTAAACGTAAAAGGAGAGTACGGCTAAATGGAAAAACTCACCGGTGCGTGCTCCTGCTGTTGCCAAATACAGAGAGAAAATTAGTTCCAGGTTAGTAAATCATAGACAAAGGCCAGATACAGATAGCTGCGGAATGCTAACAAGTTAGCCAGGACATACTTATCGAGTTTCTTGTTCAAAGGGACTAAAGAGACGTGCGTTAATCAAATTTGATAAGATACTTGCGAGATCCGCGGCTCGATGTTATTAACAGTTTGCGGTGAATGTGCGCGCGTGCGTGCATCAGCATTCGAAGTTAACATTTGCGGTTCAACAGGAAATTTGTTCGAGCGAGATAGGGACCGATTTCTCGTCCTGCTCGAGGTGGTTCAATTATATCTACTTCTTTTTCCCCGGTAAACACAGTCCAAAGAGTTAAAAGGGAATTCGACCAACTTTAATGAGGAAGCTACGGGCCGGGATCGTTTAAATGAACCACCCGACAGAGATCGGCGTTGCGTGGTCCTTTAAACAAAGCCAAGTTACCTTGCACGCCGCTCTTATCGAGAAAATTACTGAGCTGAAACGTGCTGTTGCTGGATGCCAGGTACTGTGTAAACCTCTGCAACAGAAAGGTCAATGCACCGTTAATACGATACGCGACCACTGTCGAATTGGCTGCGATAACGATTCCCTGAGCAGAGGTACTTGAAACCAAACGGCCCACGTCTCGAATTCTTGTTCGCAAATTAAAAACTGTAACGCGGCTCCCGGGTCGCGAATCGTACACGAATCGTGCTCGAATATCGCGGGTGTGCTGGACTTCGATCCCGAGCACGTTCGTGCGAGCAAGGGCGACGACACTTCCCCTCTTCGACTCATTACTGAACCTGAAATGAGTTAGACGACCTCTGTACCAATGTAAATAATACCCTGGTCGAGATTCGTTGCGATTCAGCAGCCGCGAACCGACAGAAACAAGTTCCACACAATGGTGTTGTTAACGGGCTCATTACGGGCTGAAGAAGCTACCGCGAAACAGAGTTGCTATCGAAACAGACGGACCGAGTTGCGAAACAGACCTCTTGCTACTCGGCCGTCTCTTTTTTTTCTATTTTTCTCTCTGTACTTTAAAGGTGGAAACGTTTCCTGGTTTTCCGTTGGTACTCGGGTCCATATCAGGGTACAAGAGCAGGATGAAGCCGGTATAATGGAAAGCCAATTAAACGGAGAGCAGTGCCGTCGCCGTCGCGTTTCTTTTTTATAATTGTATTCTTTTGCCCTTTCTCCTATACCGATGATGGAAAGAAGTTCGTATCCGTCCAGCTTCGAGAGGACCTCGGCTCATCGGAGGAGCAACTTCAAGGAGTCCTGTTCTGCATTGCAGAACGGAACAACGATCTTTACCTCGTTGCCGTAACAGAGCATATGGTGCACCGTGATTAGAGCCTTGAAAACCACCGTCCAATTTGTGTTCTGCGATCGTTCGATCAAGAGGTTCGCCAGCTGCGGTATCGACACATTCGGTTCGTTCGTGCAGTGAAGTAAATCTGAAACGAGAGACCGTCGTTACTCTACCATTGACGATGCATCGTCGCATTGGGAATCGTTTACAAACAGAAGTTCACCGATTGTATCATCCATGCGAACGCTCGGGTAAATTGATCTAATCTGGAAAACCGACTACCGATTCAGATACAAAACAATTCAATCTTAATCTTACATTCGTTACTCTGCCAGTTTCATCTCTCTTTCTCTCTCTCTCTCTCTCTCTCTCTCTCTCTCTCTCTCTCTCTCTCTCTCTCTCTCTCTCTACCATCTCCAGCCTCTCGGAGTGAAGAAAATCGCAATAACCGTTAATTGAAAGAGCAAAGTGGCAACCGATTCTATTGGTCAGTGGAACGCGAATCGGTCTCGAGTCAGCGGAGAAATAACAGAAAACGAGAGATCCTTAGGAAACAATTCCCAGCAGTGATTACCATTACAGAAAATTACAACTACATGCTATATGTATAAGATTAGAGATGACAACTAGGAAAAGCTTCGGCGTTCGACCAAGGACTAAATATCGCCAAATAATTTCGCAATCGGCCGCTAATAATATCCACGCCCGACGCGTACATCTCCCGGTTCTGAATGCGTAGAACCACCACGTGTCTCCTCTGTTTACAAGAGAACCGAATCTCATTCTCGTTTCCCCGTTTCCTGCGTGCGCGCAAAGAGATCCTCGGATCTTGCACAATTTGTCGTGTCGGGTGGTTGTGCAACGCAAAAAAAACGCACACACGCACACACATAAAACAAAAGCCAATGGTGATTCTTTTGTGGCCGACGGGGGGGGGGGGCAAACCGTTTATTTAAAGAGAAGAAAGTGCATCGCGTGCGTGCGTGCGCCACGAGTTGTGCCAAAACACACCGGGAGAGCGGCACGCTCGACCTTGTCGCGCTTCCTCTTCTAATAATGCGCCTCCTGAACGAGAACAGAGGCTGCCGATGTCCCAACTCATTCACTACAGTTCTATTCGCGATGTCCGCCTGTCCAAATATCTTAGCTCCGCTTGTTCCGCTGTTTCTTCGATTTCCCATGGGTTCGAATTGCGAAGAGGAACCGAATCGGAGTAACAAGTGGAACCGAAGACCCCTGCTGCACGTTTACGCCGGAAAAATCGATACACGACTGGACGCTATCAGGAAAACAGCTGACTCTGCTGTGGATCTGCTGTGGATGAGATTCGGGTGCACGCCGCGGTCCTTCTTTTCTCCGTAGTTCACGAATTTGTTTAGAAGAGACCCGATCTAGGACTAAAAATTCCAACTCTGCCAACAATTCCATACACAATTTATATACGGTATGACCGTACAAGTATAAGGTATTCAAAATCGAATCCCTTGATTCTCCAGTAGTGGTCGACCAGTTTATTCGATTGTTTACAACCATCGTAACCAAAAATTGACTTGCATCGATGGGACTGGCAGCGAGATACTGAAAGAAGGGTTCGTGTAGCGCGTTTGCGAAGCGGCCAGAGGATAGAGAGAAAAGATTAAAATGGAAAGAAAAAGATAAAATGAATACCGGTGGAACGGCAGAGGGTAGAGGCGCCCACGGTGACCTTGAACCAGTAACGTTTCCCGGTTCGACCGTAGAATGGATTTTCTGCGCTACAGGAACTAATTTTCCAAGGCTATTGCAGCGGCTCGTTAAATCGATCGGAGTCTCGGGGCTGATTCGGTCCCCTTTGTTTTCACCGTCGGCGTTATAAATAAATAAATAAACGATAAAACGACGACGGTAATTAACGACATGTTTATAGCGGCACGACGATAACATTGTGGAATATTCATCCAAGAAATGCATAGATGGAAAGGAAACTTACGGACCGGGAACACGAGCCAGACGCAAGTGGAAAATGATATGGACGAACATAACCGTTATCGGCATTATCTGACAGCCGAAGGGGTGTGTACGGCGGAGATGTTCCTCCAGAGTCCAGAGCATGACGGGGGCGTTACCGATAACGTGTTTTGGAAAGACGATAATGACAGTGAACGAGCACCGGATCATTGGTAACCGAACTAAAACCGAACCAGCCTAATTCGTGTCTCCACCGCCATTGCCCTCCGCTTTTAATGGCGGGAACAAATTTCAACCTGTCCTAGGAGCCGATCTATTGGGCTCTATTGGAACTGCGCGTCACCGGTGCAACGACCGAAATCCCTCTGTCGGTACGAAATACCGACCAAACGCGTATTTCAAATTCAAAATGGGAAACTCTTCTAACACGTCCTAAAACAAAAGTCCCTTTAGAGGGACTTTTATTTAGATATTTAGATATATATTATCTCGTATTACTTTTGCTCGGGACGTGTAACAGTTTGGAATAAATAGCATTTCAAATAAATATAAATATATTATATATTATTATATATTATATATTATATTATATATGTAAATATCATTTCCGATTCCGTGATTTGCGTAATTTCCAAACGGTCGCGATAGCAGTAGAAACAAGTGCGTTCGGATCGCATGGTAAAAATGTTGATATGCTCCAGATTCCAGATCCTCTGTCGAGTTTTGTTCGAGTCGTGGTGCGGTATATCTGGCGTATCGGTCGTTTAAAATAATTACCATTGGACGGTCGTTTGAAAAATATGGAAATGCTCGAACCGCAAGCCAACCGAGCCAAACGATTACGGAGGACTCGAAATGGAACAGGCCGAAGGACAGAGTCCGATGGCGGTTCCAACTCGAGAAATAAAACGCGTGAGAAGATCGGGACATCGATCTACGACGCGCAACGATATTCAATGGATGAGACCTAGGTGTCTATTGTAAAAGAAAAAAATCCTCGGCATGATTCATCGTGCAATAACCGCGCGACTTGCAATTACATTGGCGATTAAATTGCACGGATCTTGGAACGGATAATTGTAGGTGGATTCGACGACGGTGGCGTTCGCGGATATGTATTGTGAACTCGCAGGGTTGCGTAAATACCGGTCGATAACGATGAATGAGTCGATGAACGAGACGGAACGCTGTCTCCGAGAACAAGGGCCACGGAGAGAAAAACTCGTCGCTAATTATTATGTAATGTTAAATATCAACCGCGATGGAACATTGAAAGTTCGCGGTAAAAAAAAAGAAGGAATCGGTGGAACAAGCTGGACAGCGGAACAGCGGCGAATTTCAAAGACGGTTAGGTTATTTCGAAAAGCGACGAAAAGGGTCGTTCGTCGACGTGGCCTTCGCGAGAAAGAGCACGAAGAAACGGAACGATCGCGAGGTCATCGTCTGAGAATCAAGTGTACGGTCGATCGATACGCAGACAGAATCTCGGATGAAACTGTATACGTATGTAGTGTGTACCTAGGCAAGCGGACAGTAGGCAGAGGCGGTGTTGCTAGCGAGCATGTGCGAAAGAGAGCGTACTCGATGCCTGTCTATTGCTCGATCGATGCGATCCTTTCGATCCTCGGAGCTTTTCAGAACTGTCCGGATCGTCCGAGAGACTCGACTTCCGCCGAATTTTCCTGTTCGCGGAGACTAAAACCACGGTCAGTAAGCGATTCTCTACGTAAAAATTGTACCGGTGCCCGTGGCCTAAAAATAAACTTTAAAGCAGCGAGATCCATGCGGCAGCGTGTTTCGCCAGAGTCGGAAGTAATTGCAGAATCTTTTCAGACTGGTTACAAGGTTCATCGTTTGCTTCTGCGTTGCGTCAGAGTTTATGCAACCTGTTAATGGGACTTTCTCATGGAGCGGACCATCTCGAAGAAAAAAGAAAAAATGAAAGAACACAGGAGGATATTCTTATTCGTGATAGCAGGTGCCCAGGAATTCTAGAACGTGGTATCGGTTATCGGTAACCTAATCGTGTGACACAGAACGAGAAACAAGAAGTCACGGTGATCCGGCGACGACGCTTCGGCTCTGTCGAACCCAGCAGATGGCGAGGTTAGATGGATATTGCATCGGCAGAGGCTAGAGATTCTCGAAAACAATCGGAATAGATGTTCCGAGTTGCAGCCCGATGCGAATTCTGATAAGGGAATCGACAACACCCAGAGATAGCAGGAAAGGAGCGTGATTCATTCGGAGAGCAAGGGGAGCGTCCGAGGATGACGAAAGCATTATCGACGGGAATTCATTTCGCTATCTAAATTAGCAGACCGGAAGAAAGACCGCGAGTTGCGTTTCGCTGAAAAGGAAACGCGCGCTCTCGCCGCCGAGACGACGGAACGCGTTTGAACACACGTGTAAATATTCGAACGCCGGTGGTATACGTTACAAGAAATACGCGACGATGACTCGCGCGAAAAATTCGACAAAATTTCGTTTATCCCTTATTGTCTTTGCTAGGTTAGATTTCGTAGGATGCTTGGCAAGTTTTGGCGGACGAGCGTAGAAGCACGCGAACGTCGTCGATCCGTCATAATTTTCGAGCGACAGGGTTCAAACGGGGCAATTGGAAATAATTCGTAGCGACTGAAAGGTGCAGAGACCCAACGTGACACGCTCTCTTCGAAAGGGGTGGACTTTTCCAATTGGAACATATACAGGTCGTAGCACCTACGCAAGTATGTACCTATAAACCTTGATGCAACCATGCGACACCGGAATCGATAATCGCAAAGAACTCGTGCGGTTTCCTGGTCTTCGGTTCAAACGAGACATTTTCTCCTATCGATAATTGCGATTTTCGCAACACCGACGCGATCGTCGAAAATCGATCGAGACACGCGATACGTACGTATCGAGAGATATATCTCTATTATTTCGAGAATAAAAGCTAATCATTGCGATTATTTACGAATCGATAGGTGTCCGAACGAGAGACGATATTCTATCCCTGGATCGATACGATGCTGTTTACCAACAATCGAGGAAAAAAGTTTTGCACATACACACAAGACAATACACAGCCGAGTTGTTACGTTCGTAATTACCGGAACGACTGTGCGATAACTCCGACATTTCTCTGCGACCATTTCAAAGCAATTTCGAAGCCCGTGGGGTATTCGAATAAACAGTTTTTCCTGTGGACGATACGTGTGGCATTATGTCATGGACGAGTCGCAACTCTCGAACGGCAACATTCGTAAACCGATTACGTTGCATCGTTAGCAGACAACTTGGCGCGGTCACGACGGAAACAGAGGGGACTGCTGCTTTCATCGGAGACGTCTGTTATCGATAAGAATCTTGTCCTGCAAAAACTTTCACCGTTACACTCGACTAGAAATTCGAATCGGACCGTGTCGAGTATCGACGAGCAACAATTATTTGCGAATTCATGCGCCGGCATCGATGGACACAACCTAATCTCACAGCAACGCGATATATGTATAGCGATATCGTTTAACAAACTGTTTGCCTGTAGAATCAGGGCTGGAATCGCGTGGATTACCAAGTTACGAGCGATCTATGGCGACGGTTTCGACGGGATCCGGCAAAATTTCGTACGACAAGAAAGACGGAAGGGAAAGGATCGTTCTCAAATGTATAGGCAAATTCGACCGTTATCAGCACCCATGTACGCGCGTTATTAACGTAAGCGCGGTGACGGATATGTAACGTGACGGCAGGTGCTTTGCAACGAACCATGGAATCGATACGAACACCTCTCTCGCGTGCAGTTCTGCCCATGTTCCCAACAGAAATTAGACCCATCTTTTTCTTTTCCTTTCTTTCGCGTCTCCGCGTGGAACTCGTTCGTTTCGATCGAGAATGGAAGCATCGTCAGCGAATTGATAAACAGAGAACACCGTGACCGTTCGCGATGCCAAATTCTCGATGACGCATATACCGATTCTTTCGTTGGCCCTGTTGGTTTACAAACGGCTGAACGTTTTCGAACGAACGTGTCAAAAGTATTCGATCGATAACCGAACGTTTTTTTTTAGTCTGTTTCGGTCCGGTCCCGCAGGATTCCGAATTCCACGGAAAATAAACGATTAATCGTGAAACGAGCCGCTTTCCTCCGTGTTACGCCTCGAAATGGAAAGTAACCCGTGAACGTGCACGGGTTCCAGGGTGGGGGTGGGATGCATGAAAGGTGATTCCCGTGTATCAGACATGACTAATACAGTAACGTCAACACCTCCTCGCGAAGTTCATACACTTTAGAAAATAGCTGCAGCTCGGACGCGAGAAACATGTCTGTTCCCAGTCGGGACAGCATTTCACTTTCCTCGACCGGTATGCTTGTCGAATAGCACCAGCCGAATCTCGTTAGATTTATCCGTGGGAAAAGTAAAACACGATACGATATATGTAGAGTCCCTGCTAGGAGATCAATTCACCGCGAAATGAATCCAAGACACGATCTCCGTCTCTCTCTCTCTCTCTCTCTTTCTCCATCTCTGTTCCTCACTTCTACGCTCTCTCTCTCTCTCTCTCTCTCTCTCGATCCCTCTCTCTGTCTCTCTCTTCCACATTCTCTTGTTCGATCGAGCCAAGATCAAGGGAGAAGAAAAAGAGGAAGACAATGTACTTACAGTCAAGATGTTTCTTCTTAGGGCCTATCATCTCCTCGGTGGTAGCTTTGCAGACGGATTTCGCTAGGCCCTGCCCGGCGATGCTGTGTCTCGCTGCCAGCAGCCTGTCGTTTATCGTCTGTCCCGCCATACTGTCGTCGCCGCCGCCGCTGTCACGCTCGAACTTCTATTCAAGCTCACACACCGCTAGATCCGACGACCGGAGTAGCCTGGTCGCTCCGAGAGGCTGTTCTCCGGGTTCGACGACAGCGTCGAACAACGTGTTAACACACACAACGGTAGACAGACAGAGGAGACACACAGGCGCGCACACCACCAACCGTAACCAGCGGAACGCGAGCGCAACCAGCAATGTGGAGAGAGAAAAAAGATACGACGTGTGCCGTCGCGCGGCGCCGGTCCCGTCCCGATCCGGTTCCTTCTGATAGATTAGTGAGGTAAGAACCGGTGGCTGTCCTCGGAATCCGTATTTCGATCGAGCCGAGAGAAGCTCGTTCTCCCTCTCTCTCTTTCTCTCTCTCTCTCTTCTCGTTTCTTTTTCGTATGCGCGCGTTAACAGCTCAGCTGGGCAGACGACAGCTCTCAGCTCTCACCGCGAACGACAGAAGGCTCGCACGACCAACCAATATGGCGACCCGGACCTCCTACTCCTTCGCCGGACCGGACACTCCTGACAGCCAATCCTAATCCTCCGTACGTGAACACGGCCTACTGCCTTTGACGTCATACCGCGCTAGTCAAAGCAAGCTGTGGCTGATCATCGCGCAGCCGCAAAACGTGCGCGTTTCGGCCCTCAGAATTTTTGGAACGTGAACTTGGAAAATTAATTGACATACCTTCGTCACCTGTTTGTTCCAAATTAAAAACAATTCTGTACAATTTGTTAATAATAGCTGTTTATCGGGCTGGTAATAGACGAGAAGCCTCCGATATAAATTTACTATCGCGCTTAGGACCTTTAAAGCATTTGGGCTGCCGCTAAAAACAAGCCGTTGAATGGAATGTTTTTAAAGATGCGTCCAATGGAGATTCCAGAAATGAACTGTACGTTTAACCCTTAAATGTAATTTCCTTGAAGTTAGTCTCCTGGTAATCCGTTCTTTCTATTAAAATGTAACGATTGAGTTCGTTCTCCACAAATTGTACGTCCGAGTGCATTAAAGCGTACTTCGTGATATCCCAAAGAAATATTACGTAATGTTATAGACATAATGGGTTTGAGGGAAGTATGTAGAAACCGAGAGTTTACGCTGAAAAAATCGATCGAAGAGGGTGTCACCGTAACAAGGTTAAAATCGATAATGGAAGTCCAATTTCTGCGCATGCATATTTTCTTCCGGTTACTCCATCCTCCATCTAGCGTATCATTTTATCTATGATTGAACGTAGCCATGAAATTTTTTAATCCTTTGCAACTATGTGCATACTAATATTTCTTAACAGGTTATAAAGTTACGGTTCGAAAGTTATTCGAATTTTAAAATTAAGAATTCATGTAATTCTTAAAAAGAATTTACGTACGTTTAAACGTATATGATATACAACGTCAATTAGTAAGTGGCAAAACACTGAAACTGCTAGTCAAACAGTAGCGCATCTGGTGGTGGAACTCCGAAGCTTCGTTCAGCGTCCGTACAGCGCCAATTAGTGTAGTGGCAAAGCACGCAAACTGTTAACCAAAATCGACTGTCGGTAATTTTGTCTATCAGTTTCAGCATTTTACCGCTATACTAATTGGCGCTGTATGGACCCTGAACGGATCATACAGCTTCTCGAATGTTCCGAAATCTTGAATTCTTGAATGACAATTCCGAGAAGAAATTAAATAATTTAATTTGTTATCATAGTTATTATTTTGGGGAAGCTTGCACTCGCTTTACTCGCTTTCGTAATTTCTTGCTATCGTATGTTTACCTGGTCGGGAAAAATGAACTTGGAAGGGGAAACCGGCGACTAAGAGGCCTCTGATTTTGTTTACGTGGACATCAGTATCGAAGACGATAAGCAAGTTTTTATATTAAAATGTGTATGTACAAACGTTTATTTATTAAATAAAACGGTTCCACAGACTACGAGAATACCAATCGTTATTTAACCGGTAGAAAATTAATTTGAAACAATGTACCAGTTTGCAGTTTTAATAACACGTGACATAACCATACCGATGTGATTGGATCGATGATTTCGATTTAAGTTGATCTTGTAACTTTTCAGCTGTTAGCAGTGGAGTATCATTCGCATTGTCGTCAGTTCTGACGGTTCTTGTATTCTCCGGAATGCAAATATATAAATCTTCGCTAGCATCCTCCCAATTGTATACCATACTAGGAGGATACATCGGTTCCATATTGTTTATATGTATACTAACTGCCGTAGGAAATCTAGAAGCCACAATATTTGGAAAATCCTTCCAACAAAAGTTATTTCCCGAAGGTACATATACACACATTGTTGTACATTTGATTTTTCATCTACAGATATATGCGTGACAGCAAAATAACATCAAAATGTTTTAATTTTTACAGTTGTATTTTCTCTAATAATTAGTTTAATCGCGTCTGGATTAGTGCATCGCGTTGCAATTACAACTTGCTTCTTATTTTCTATGGTTGCATTGTATTATATAAATCGAATCTCCCAAGAGACGTACTCTGTACCAGTGCCTGTACCAGTTGGAGTGCATACAAAGAAGAGAAAATAAGAAAAACATACTAATTTAATGCAGCTTTTCTACTACAATATTGTGCTCAATCGAAAATTTTAGGATTTAAGTATCTTGCTTTCGAAAGCTCTTAATCGATCATCTACTCAATGTATCTGACCAAATATGCTTAGTTATCTTTTTGTATTAATATATTTCTACCGCTACAATTGTAGGTAGATAAGTAAAATTAAAATAAAATGCATCATATACAAATATTTTATAACATTCAGGGATTTTGTTTTCCACTCTTCATGTGCTTTTCCGCCTCTTCCTTATCACTGAAATATTCAAACGCTTCGTCTGAATCTTGGATATTTACATGAGACCTGTCGGTTAATTTCGCTTGATTGTCGTGAAAATTCTGTCCAGACATAACTTGTTTGTAAATTGTTAATGCCTGCAAATGATGTATAAAGTAAAACAACTTGCAAAGAATTACTCTTTCTTTAATTCTTGACTTACTTGTGCTACCATGGAAGATGTGTCGGCCACATTGCTGGGTATTATTAAAGTATTATTTTGTTTCGCTATTTTCTTGAATGCCTTAATGTACTGTTCGGCTACACTAAGTGCTGCCGCATCCTTCGCGCTGGTTAAATTAAGTGCTTCCGCTACAATTTTCAAACTTTTAGCACGTGCTTCAGATATCATAATTAGAGCTTTTGCTGCGCCATCCGCTTTGTTTATTTCTTCCTGCTTTGCGGCCTCTGTAGAATTAAGTTCATATAAATTCATGTTTAATTTTCAATTGAAAACAGAAACAGTAGTAACCTGATGCTAAAATCTGTGCCGAACGTTTTCCTTCCGCGATATTTATCTCTGATTCTCTTTGAGCTTCCGAATTCAGAACCGCAGCTCGTTTTTTGCGTTCGGCTTCCACTTGCATCTGCATTGCTTCCTGTACTCGTTGTGGTAGTCTTATGTCACCTAATTATGAAAATGATTAATTATTGTAACTTTGGTTTCAATAATGGAGAATATTACATTCCCTTGACTCACGTATTTCGTAACGAAGACAAGCGATACCCCACACTTTGCTTGCTTTGTTAATACTCTCGACGATACAAACATTGAGGCCTTCTCTCTCCATAAATACTCTGTCCAAAGAAATTTTTCCTAACTCTGACCTCATTGTGGTCTGGGCTAATTGGATTATAGCGAACTCTGGATCCTCTACTCCATAAGATGCCAAGTATGGATCGATTACTCTTAAATATAATACTCCGTCGATGTTTAATGTAACATTATCTACGAATGAGAATATTAATGTTAACTTGCAAGCTATTACATTATTCGTATCACCTGTATATTTGACAATGTGTACCTGAAGTCACTGCAGATTGCTGAGGAATTTCTATAGCGATTTCTTTGAGACATTGAACATATTTAACCCGATCAACTATTGGTATTAGTATGTTCAATCCTGGCTCTAAAATTTTATGAAACTTGCCCATTCTTTCAATGATCCATGCCTGAAAGAGTATTATACTTATTACCATATCACTTATTGTACCCTATTCGCAAAAGTGACAGACCTCTTGTTGCGGAACAAACATTATAACAGTATTGGTAGGTCCACTGGATTTATGTCTAACATGTGCTACAGCTATTCGAGGGGCAGAATGTTCGAGGGCAAGATGTGGCTGATAATTTAAAAGAAACAATTATAATACTATAAGCACAAGTTCAAGATATGATAGTTTAAGGTTAGCTATATTTTTAAACGTATCATGGTTACCTTGAAAACCCCAAAATTACGAGCGAACAATTTAAATCTGCTATTCATTATGAATTTATATTTTCGTAATAACATTGAGGTGATAATGGAAAATTCCTCTGTCAAATAGAATACCTTATCTCGGTCTGTTTAAACCGTAGTTGACCGTAGTCAAATCACGTTTTTGCTACGAAAAAATATCGTTAAAAAACTATATTTACAGCAACTGATTAAAAATTGGTATCCGATGATTGAATCATACACAAAATCAAATGAAATGTTTTTATTCAGGTAATATTCGCCTCTATTATAATACCTGAAATAGGTAAGGCTGTGTGCTTAAAATGTATGAAGCACATTGTATAGGAAATACATATTTCTTAAGTTCGTGGCACCGTGGTCCTTGGTTTGAAAACAATTTCGCGCGCAAAATAATACACGCGGGAAATGGTAAGATTTCAAATTATAATCTCACCACACCTAGATTCATATCGCCTAACATTATTTTAATGAATTATTTTCTACAAGAAACATTTATCTTTTAGCAGTACACGTTAAAATTGCTTAGCATACGCGGTGTGCCTACTGTATATCGTCCTATTTAATAATTATTAATTCTAGGGACAAGAACATCCGTTGCGTGTCGTGTTGTACACCCCGAACCGTCGATAAAGTAAACTGTATTACCCTCGTATAATTCAAGATTGAATTACAATTACAAATATTTATCTTTTATGATCAGTCACGCAACAGAGTAATACAAATATAATTAAAACATATTCGACTGCTTGAAGCTCGATTAACCGAGTTCGGGTAACCGTTCGGTATTCTTATTTGCTGTTGATTGATTTCTTCGACAGAAATTGCTTCGTTCGTTCAATTGTGCCGTATTCGATTAATTGCATTTCGAGATTACAGGCAATTTCGAAAACGGAATTGATAAACACAACAGTGTATACATTTTTACGTCAAAACAAAAGAGATTTGCAATCATTGGTCGGTGTCGGTAATTACCGACAGGTCGGCCAATGAGATACAGCGTCGTTCGCGAGGGAGAAATAATGCAGTCGTCGGGGGAGCAGCCTGCTGCGATAATTGTATAGCAATTGACAGTGCAGCGGAAAATATCGTGGATGCGAGTGCGTGACATTATACCTGCTGGAAATATTAATCTGTTTCATCCAAAATGTCATCGCCTACGCAAGTGGTGAGCGTCATTTTTTCTCATTAATCGATCCGTTCACGTCATTCCTTTCGATTACCCCTGATGCATTTATATGTTTTCATTAATACATATTTGCCTTCGTCTCGACACTTTTGCTGCATAGATCTATCCGTTCTCTTGTTCGAATCGACATCGAACATTCATGCCTTTGTTTACATCGCTTCGAAAACAAGATACGCAAACGTCAAAAGTCAAGCTTCCTGCCGAACAGCTGTTCCTTTTGTTTTGAACGACGGCTGTCATTCATTTTTTTCCGCGCAACATAGCTCACTTTTCCTTTACGTTCCCTGGACTATCAATAAGTAATGTTGGTACTATTGCGAATTTTTTTTCTACGTATTCCTTTGTTTCCATGAGTGAGTGAACAACAGAAAGAAATGATGCTTCTTCGGTGCCCCATTTACGATACGTTAATAACAAATTCGACATTGATGCTGCCGCAGAGACGTTAGAAAAATTTGCCAGCCCCAGATTCATTGGATCAATAAATTACCGAACGTCACTGTATCGCATTAACTTTGAATCAATTCAACGACCAATTGAATGTCCACCTTGACTAAGTTGCTGCAATCTTCTAATGATTGTTTAATTCACCTTTCAAAACACTACGTTCCTGTGTACAGAGTTTTACTGAAATCAGTGTTCTCTTGATACGAGAACTGAAATAATATGTGTTTCTTTTCATTGTGCCAAATATAGTAGTACAGACAAAAAAGCCTTTAGCTGGTTGTTAATTATTCAGTATTTTTATTGTCGGTACAATCGAACGACATTCAATGGTACATTTATAATCAGCCAGCCGCTCACATGATGCAGCTAAATTGCTTTATTTGTATTTTATGAGAAAAATGCGTGTTTACGCGCTTCCTCCATTCATAGGGTTCAAGTACAAACAAATATTATGATTGCAGAGAGATACAAAGCAACGATTGATAATGCAACGTGTTCGTTTCACACAGTCCTGCTATCTTATCTCTCTTGTGTATGTTTACAAGACTTCTCCCTCAAATCATTTTCTGCATCCAGCGTGTAATCTCGTTATTCATGCGCGCAAATATGACGGTTTTAACTTGAAATTTATAATCGTTTGTACGTTCACCGAAACATAACATCACTGATCCCTAACATCAACGTTACAAATCGGGAAATCGTGTTGGAAACATGTTTCCACTGTGAATCATCGTGAACAATAACCGGGACTCGAATGTCTCTGTTTTGTCTGTTGCAGTTAAAAAGCGTTGGCCCAAAGCTAGTCCCGTTCTTTAAAAGTGTGTCCGTGTATTTTATATTGCTAGCCGAGCAGCCGTCCCTACTCACGGCATGCTTCAAGTGTTTGCCAATTATAAGTCTTATCGTCTTTGTTCTCCTTCATGGAATTAGTTTATCGCAGGAGTAAGTGCAACAGATTTTTGCATAAGCCGATCTCTCGTACGCTCGCTTCGAAACCATCCTGATTAATTCTCATTCGTACACACACTCGGCGAATAAAAGAGCCGTAATACAATTAACGCTACAAATAATCAATTAACTTGAAGCAAGTGGCTTCCACGGCTTTTATTTCGTGCATTACGTGCGTCACGGCGCAACCGTTTAACACCTCTAACGAGCAAACGTTTAGCGGAGCCGGAAGCAGTGAGTTAATCGAGGCAGCGCGTTACATTTCCTAGATCGCTATAGGTGCTAGCCTAACTTCCACGTTTATCTTGCTTACACGCTTGTTTTCAGGTTGCTTCTTCCTTTATTTCTCTAATAGGTCTCACGCACATACGTTTCAGAGTTTTTCTGCTATTTAATGATCTCTTAAGATCTATGAATCGTATTTTAGAATAGCAATAACGGCACGAGCAAGTTTCTTCGGAAGCGAAACAGACACACTATCGAAATTCTTGTTCCGGTTCCGATGGTTGCCAGTCAAGACGGTTGCTCTCGTTCCTTTAGGCTACATGTCCCGACAGACCTAGAACCAATCAAATTGTTAATTGATCTGGGAAACTTGTTCGGATAGTGTCGATAGAAAAAAAGTCACCTGAAAATGTAAGTGTAAGCCAGAGTTCCTCTTCGCCGCTTCTCCGCTAGAGTCTTATTCGCTAGAAGTCTTCTCGCACACATAATTACACAACATTATGTCCGCTTTTTTTTTGGAAACTGGAAACAGATGCTCGCAAAAAATTATCTGCTACTTTCAGATACACGTTCTCCAGACGCATACTGACAGGGCTGATATTCAGTTGCATAGGGGATGCATTACTGGTCTGGCCCAGTTGTTTCATAGGAGGAATGTGTATGTTCGCTCTCGCTCAAATCATGTACATCAGCGCGTTCGGTTTTATACCACTTAACATAATGCTGGGCACGGTTCTGTATGCAATGTGTTCCATAGGTAAGCATCTTCTTTTTCTTCTTCTTCTTCTTCTCGAGACACTTGAAAACAAAAAGAAAATGAGTTCCCTGCTTTTATAGTGATATACGCACTGATGCCGGGTCTTAACGGTGTACTGGTTATTGGAGTTCCAGTATACACCATACTACTGACTACCATGGCATGGAGAGCAATCTCGAGAGTGCAGTTTTACAGGGTATGGCAACCTTTTAATATTTGAAATTTTATAGAAGCTTATCGCGTGAAAATATAATTCATCAAGGTGAATGCTCATCACTGGTATGCTCTCCCTTTAAATCACATATTAGGGTATTTGATCCCCATCTGCTTGCCTGATAGAAAGATTGTAATTAATGTTATATTCAGGTAGTGAAAAATAGATATTTTTAGCCAGTTGCGGTGGTAGAAGATGAGATTAGAAAATGCTGACCTAGAAAGACAGCAGACCCGTTCGATTTCTTGTAATTGCCCAACATGATGTATTCAATAAATAATTTCTCTAGCAGGAGTTATGGACGTGGACTAAATTATGCAGTTGCATAGGCAGTATATGTTTCCTGATATCCGATACGTTGCTCGGCTTCCACTACTTCCACACCCCGTTGCCTTATTCCCAGGTAATAGTCGATCAATTATGGAAATCGTTGATATAATGTTGGTCTCTGATCCATTGGTTTTTTTAGGTCTCCATCATGCTGACGTATTACGCGGCCCAGTTGGGAATCGCGCTTAGCGCCGTTGGATCTAAAAACAACAACAATGTTAGCAACAAGAGAGACGAACAGGTCAATTCAATCAAGGGTTGAATTGCATATTTTCTATAGGTTGTACATATTTAATCGAATTATCCTCCCTCCCCTCCCTCCGAGCCGCTCAAAATAATTAGAAGCTCTGACGAACCAAATATATTAAGTAACAATACTGTGTACTAAAGTGCAGCCTAATTATTTTGAGCTGTGCATCGAGATGAGGTAGCATAACTTATCGTTCGATGTAGGTACAATGCACGATCAGTTAAACGATGTACGATGACCGAACAACATTGAAGTAGTATAACACTGCCACCTCCCCGAGGCAAGCGTTTTTATCCGTGGCTATCTAACTATGAATTGTAAATCGTACCTTGTATGTACGAATCGTTTTCCTTCTTCAATTGATTTGTACCACGGCGTCGGACACAGGACAATTAGATACCTTAAAATGCTGTGACAATTAGGAATATTTCTATAGGTGTTTAGCTAGCGTAGGAATTTCCTCTACAGTTAATTACCGTAGACAGCACGATGTTCCTATGCGAACATCGTGCACACATGTGTTATGTGTGTGGCTCAATGTGCACACTACGAACCAAATCACAATTTTGTACGGTAGAAAGAATAGTATCCAATAATATCCAATGATAGGTGACGTTGAATGATAGTTGATTATGTGTAAATAGAGAGACGCAACTGATACAATAGAATTGTAAATGTTTCGACATTGTTCTTTCACGTTAAATAACACTGAGTGAAACAGAAATAGAAAAAGAGAGAGAGACAGAACAATTTTATAAGAATTCTCAGTTTATGTAGACCATATAGATTCTTTTATTTCACTACTGCATTTACTGATAAGTATTGAATAATAGGGATGCATTTATCTTTGACAAACATGCACTAACGCAATACCCAGGCAAATTTGATTATTTTTTCAATAATAAATATCTTTTCTAAATATATCCGAAGAAACTGAAGAGTTCTCATGTGGGGAATGTATTTTCTATCTTAGACTATAGCAATCGTAGCAATTGACTCGGTAGATTATTATAGTGCAGTGATAAATTTCAATGACATATCATTCAATTGAATTAATTGTCTTGGAAGCGCAAGGACTACTATGACTCCGGTAGTAACAATAATCTGAGCTAAATGACAATGAACATAGAACTGAGATTACTGAAACGCGAACGTGTTTCTTAGTTTAAAAATAAATCTTGTCGCAGTCTGAATCTTCGTTTTATTCAGTTCTATCGTTCAAGTTTATGGTGTACAAGTTCTAGCATAATAGTAAATATGTTTACAAGTTCGTGTAAACGAAAAATAAAAACATTACAACGTACGATACAAGATAATTTGGTATGTGCTCTACAAATCTTTTTCTTTTTTTCAATTAATGAAATTACTAGTTTCTAAGTAACTTCCAGAGACGTCACTACTACGAAGTTATTTATTAATCTACTATTTTTATATGTAATTCATCGGCGAAACACTGTATAAATCGTGTGAGAAACATTGATAATTGTAGAACACACGTATCAATATTCTATATACACAGTCCTCCTGTACTCTGATTCTAAAATTATAATTAAACTCATCTACAATATCTGTATACTGAGACTGTATTTTATGAATAATTAAAAGATTGTTGATTCAAAAGCGCGAACGTTACTGCAATTCTACTCCTTGATAACTATGAAACGGTAATAATTATTGTAAAACTAAAGTTTCTGCACCACCTCGACGCACTACGATACCATTCGATAGTTTGCTCTTCTCTGCGCAATTTATTTTACACTTAAAGATCCTGGAACGAGGAACATAATTGCGATATTTTCTCCAGAAGAATGTTACAGTTTAATACAGTCGAAAAATCTACTCACGAAACAATATCATCCCACATTTGAACTTGTCTCTCTTGTACTGCGTTGGTTTTCATTAATTCTTCCTTTTCCGACGCAGATACTTTCATTTTGCTTTCCTCAGCTTTAATAGCGGCGTTCAATTCTTCTCGTATTCTTGCACCTGGATCGGAGCTATTAGGATCCTATAAACATTCACATATAATTATTAAATGATTGAATAATTAATAAATTAATAAAATAAAATTTAACAACCTCTGTTTCTCGCCTTATTCTTTCCTCTGTACTCTTTATGTGATCCAGGAGTCTCACCAATTTCCTCTTTTCTTCCAAACCTTCGGTTATTTCTGTTTTGATCATCTCTATCTCAGATTGCAGATTATTAATTGAAACACTCATGCTTGATTCAACATCATTGTGAGCTTTCTCGGCCTTCTCGTGTTGCTGCTCGAATTCCCTTGACTTTTCCCGCAAACATTGCACCTCTGAAATGTGTTTAAATCGTTGGACATACGTTGATTGCAATGTATCGAGCATACATACCATTTATCAATGGAACCAACTTTGCTCGGCGAGAGGAGATGTCTTTGGACAACTGACGATTTATTGAGGAAGCATTCTCTTCTGTAAAATCAGTCGGCGTGCTCTTCTCTACCGTTTCCAACATCTTTTTCGTCTGATTATATTGGCTGAGCTAGGAAATTGAACAACACAGTTTAGTTAGTTATTACATGTATGTATAACGATTTCCCTTGAACCTAAGCTACCTGATTTTCCAAAATTGCAGTCGTTCGATAAAGTATGCTATTTTCTGCATTGAGCCATGCCACCTCGCCTTTGCAATGCTTATAGAGAGTACTTCTGGTTTTCAATCGGTTAATGTATTGTTTTAATTCCTCTCCCTTGGGTGCAGCATCCTCTATCATTAGCCTCGATAATTCCCGTTTCTCCTCCAATTTCAACTGTAGCTCTTGCAAAGAATCATCAGTTTTCTCCAGTCGTTCGAGAGCATTCCTTTTAATATTCGCAACGGCCGCCGCTTGTTGCCGAAAGGGCTCCATCTTGTCGATATTGATTTTCGAGATCTGCGAATAACATCTGGTTACGCTCGTATCATTTCATTTTAGCACGTTGCCGCGGTTTACCTTAATCTCTACCAGATCTTGAATCTCCTTCGCCATCGAGTCCAATTTGTTTCTCATCGTAGTAATCTGATCCGGACCTAAGTACGAATAATGTTTCACTGAAGTCAATGCTTTCATGCGATTCCTCAGCTGATTCAATTCGGCTGGTAACTTCTCGTTGGCAACCATAGACTGCACGGTCACCATTTCTGATAGCTGTTGCAATAGCGTTTGTGCTGTCACCTCGTTCTCGTCCCTCCTCAATGTTTCCAGCTCTCGTTCTAGTCTTTGGATAGCAATCTAAAATTACAGTACCAGCTTAGAAAGACGGTTCAAATTGCTTGAACAGCATGATACTTTGTAGACGTTGCTACCTGCAGTCTAGACGTAATTTCTTTCTCTTGTTCTTCTTGCAATGCTAAATCACGATCCTTGTCCCTTTCGATGCGCAACGATCTGGCTGCATCAAATAAATGAATGCCCGCTTCTGCTTTCGCTTTCATTTTTTCGATGCGTATAGTGACTGCCTAATTAAATCAATCATGGGATTAATTCTACGGGCAACGCGAATGACTCGCGTTTCTATCTCTCCTTACTTCTTTTTCTTTCTCCATCGTTTTCAGGTCTGCGGTGAGCTCGCTGGCATTCTCGAAATTCTACGTTCAATTAAACGAACGATTAGCCGCAAGTAATGATTGCAATATTAAAAGATATTAGAAACGTTCGTTTACCCTTTTCCCTATCTCTCTCTCTTTGTGAACCGCTTTAAATCGATCGATCAACACCATGTATTGGTCGTGCAAAGCGGCGACCTCAGGATCACTCAAATATTCGGCGGGAACCTCCACCTAATTAATAACAATCACGTATCTCGTTACGGATTGCTTTAAACAGTTGTATAGTGTGTTTACAAATCTCTGCCGTTTCAATTGTTGAACAATATATTGAGAAAAATTTCGGAACATTGCTTTTAATCAATTCAAGGTCGCAGAAATTTATAGACCCTGGATAAATGTGTATATGCATATGTGCATGGATACCTTCACTAGAAAACGAGACAAATAGGCTCTTTTCCGAGCAACGTCCACGTGAGAGAGAACCCATGTCAGGATAGGATGAATCGTTTCAGGATCACCTCGGATCAGACCTTGTCTAACAAATGAAAGTGAGAGAAAGTTAAGTTGAATTTTGAAAAAGTTTTGCGACTTCTATACCTAAATGTAACGGGATCTGTCTGCGGCTGATAATTGAACACGCGCAGCACATTTAAAATGTAGATAGCAATGTCTTCGGGAGTCTCGCTTCTTGGATCAATGTTCGCCGCATGCTGATCTTGTATCTTGATCAATACCTCTTTCAATACCTGCAATAAATAACCGGTGAGTGGACGAATCGGGAATCAAAGTACAATTGTAAGATTTTAAACTGGCCTAAACGCTTACATGCAACAGTTCCTCAGGACTCAGAGAATTGAAGTAAATAATATTGTAATTACGTCCGAGCAACTTATTCACCTCCGATGCAATGAACTTCATGTTTTCCTTCATGATTACAAAAAAACGGTAGAAGGTTGCTCTGCGAGCCACGATAAACTCAGCCAGAAATGGAAGTACATAATCTACCGTTTTGTTGCCGTAACGTGTTGTCCTGGCAACGGCGTCGTGTTCTCTCGGTTACCTCCTTTAAAATCTAACGCGTGCACATAAACGCAATCTCTTGTGCCATGTGCCACGTTGATGTATCACGTAGTAGGAGTATTTGGAGTCTGCACACGATGACCTTTCAGGGAAAATTAGTGCGCTAATTAAGTTACGGCCCGGCGCAGGCCGAGAGAGACTCCTGAAAGGTCATTTAATTTTCAACTACGCGTAACTGTTTGATGCACCTCGCGTGCACCGTATCGGTATCGATTACCGGAGCTGAGCAATTTCAACTCGACTAATTTTGATGCGACCGCAGAATAATTAACCGTGAAAAAAACGGTGAACGATATAATACTAAAACGGTGGGGTGTCGAAATCGTACATTAAATTTTTCTCTATTGCGCAATCATTGAATACCGTTACAGAGTCGAAAGATTATTTTATTTCTTTTCTCTTCAGGAAATGAAATTTTGCTATTACTCGAACTTGTCGCCTCTTAAAAACTATTTGTTGGTCTCCACAAATAAAGTTATGGATTTAATTGAGAAATAATCATTCGTTTTATTTAAAAGAAAACTATTTGGACAATCAGTACGTAGCCCTCTCGTACTTCTCCATGTATATATATATCCTTCAAACTTAACGTACGATTTAATCGTTATAAAACTGCAAGTCTCCATGTATGCTCGAACATGAAAGTTTTTATTCCACACATGAAAATTGTGTTGCTCTTTTTCTCTCCTTTTTTATATATCGTCATCACATATATATCGTCGTCGTCATCGTCATCATCATCATCATCATCATCGCCACCACCACCATCATCATCATTGTCATAATCATAATCATAATCATCATCATCATCATCATCATCATCATCATCACATATTTTAATACGCAATTTCGATATGAAAATCGAGACTCGTTCGAGACGAACTAGTTCTCTTCGATACAATATAACACAGTGATATTTAAATGTATGTATTTAAATCTTGCGAAATTTCTATTTATATATATATATATATATATATATTCATATCAGCGGTGTGTCGACTTTCTGAGCATAGTGTATCTCGTAATACTATACTGAATCTTAATTTTATTATTTAACAAACCTCGACCCTAAACAGTATCAGTTTTCCCATTTACTTTTTCTTCTCCTTTATCGTGTCTTTTCGTTTATTTTCTTTATATATAATAATAGATGCCACTAGAACAACATTTCTCTACTCGCTTATGTGCGTTAACAGATGAAAGAGAGAGAGAGTACACCGAAGTTACCGTCGACTGAAAAATATGTTGTTGGAGAAGTCGGCTAGAATATTACTTTTTTGGAAATTCCGTTTAACAGTTTTCACAAGTTCTCCTTTTCTCTCTGTTCTGCTGTTCTAGATATACTTCAGCGTGATCGGTGAATTTCTCCAATTGCCCAGCTTTTCGTTCTTTGTTAATTCTTACAACATCCGTGTTATTACAAATGGCTTGTGAAATCTTACATAAAAGAACCATGTAAGTCATATATATTTTGTGACGATGTTTAATAATCAGTCTAAAATTTGAACAATATAGCAACGTTGTGATAATCAAATACCGCATGAAAAAATCATTTGAAGAATGCACTATATATAAATCTGTCTCTTATACACATCTAACATCTAATACCCAATACCTACGGTACTTATATATGTGCTGTCTCTTATACACATCTAACATCTAATACCCAATACCTACGGTACTTATATATGTGCTGTCTCTTATACACATCTAACATCTAATACCCAATACCTACGGTACTTATATATGTGCTGTCTCTTATACACATCTAACATCTAATACCCAATACCTACGGTACTTATATATGTGCTGTCTCTTATACACATCTAACATCTAATACCCAATACCTACGGTACTTATATATGTGCTGTCTCTTATACACATCTAACATCTAATACCCAATACCTACGGTACTTATATATGTGCTGTCTCTTATACACATCTAACATCTAATACCCAATACCTACGGTACTTATATATGTGCTGTCTCTTATACACATCTAACATCTAATACCCAATACCTACGGTACTTATATATGTGCTGTCTCTTATACACATCTAACATCTAATACCCAATACCTACGGTACTTATATATGTGCTGTCTCTTATACACATCTAACATCTAATACCCAATACCTACGGTACTTATATATGTGCTGTCTCTTATACACATCTAACATCTAATACCCAATACCTACGGTACTTATATATGTGCTGTCTCTTATACACATCTAACATCTAATACCCAATACCTACGGTACTTATATATGTGCTGTCTCTTATACACATCTAACATCTAATACCCAATACCTACGGTACTTATATATGTGCTGTCTCTTATACACATCTAACATCTAATACCCAATACCTACGGTACTTATATATGTGCTGTCTCTTATACACATCTAACATCTAATACCCAATACCTACGGTACTTATATATGTGCTGTCTCTTATACACATCTAACATCTAATACCCAATACCTACGGTACTTATATATGTGCTGTCTCTTATACACATCTAACATCTAATACCCAATACCTACGGTACTTATATATGTGCTGTCTCTTATACACATCTAACATCTAATACCCAATACCTACGGTACTTATATATGTGCTGTCTCTTATACACATCTAACATCTAATACCCAATACCTACGGTACTTATATATGTGCTGTCTCTTATACACATCTAACATCTAATACCCAATACCTACGGTACTTATATATGTGCTGTCTCTTATACACATCTAACATCTAATACCCAATACCTACGGTACTTATATATGTGCTGTCTCTTATACACATCTAACATCTAATACCCAATACCTACGGTACTTATATATGTGCTGTCTCTTATACACATCTAACATCTAATACCCAATACCTACGGTACTTATATATGTGCTGTCTCTTATACACATCTAACATCTAATACCCAATACCTACGGTACTTATATATGTGCTGTCTCTTATACACATCTAACATCTAATACCCAATACCTACGGTACTTATATATGTGCTGTCTCTTATACACATCTAACATCTAATACCCAATACCTACGGTACTTATATATGTGCTGTCTCTTATACACATCTAACATCTAATACCCAATACCTACGGTACTTATATATGTGCTGTCTCTTATACACATCTAACATCTAATACCCAATACCTACGGTACTTATATATGTGCTGTCTCTTATACACATCTAACATCTAATACCCAATACCTACGGTACTTATATATGTGCTGTCTCTTATACACATCTAACATCTAATACCCAATACCTACGGTACTTATATATGTGCTGTCTCTTATACACATCTAACATCTAATACCCAATACCTACGGTACTTATATATGTGCTGTCTCTTATACACATCTAACATCTAATACCCAATACCTACGGTACTTATATATGTGCTGTCTCTTATACACATCTAGATGTGTATAAGAGACAGGTATTGGGTATTAGATGTTACATAAAGGATAGAGAATTGTCGACTCGAATACATAGAAATTCTTCAAAATTTTTCAGGACGTAAGAAAGAAACAAAACAAAAGACGAAAAGAGAAGATTAAAATTAAAAAAAAGAAAGAGTTTTTCTCTAAGTGTATATCGCCTTAAGGTGTAATACATTTTTGCAAAGGTTCTGTGCATAATGTAAAAAACTGCAAAACTATGACTATGACTCGATTATCGATATTATGCGACATCGTGTACAGCGTTTTATATTCATTTAAATAGAGTTGTTATGCTCGAATGCGAAGTAACACGACGCGCTGTATATAATTAATTAAACTTCCCTCAGCCCTTCGGTCTTCTTTAAATTCGCAAGTATGTCAAAAACATATTAATGAATTTGAAAGAATGTTAACGAATTTCTTGTACAGCATCACAGAACAAAAGGGAAATTTATACAAGTCACGTTTAAATAACGAATTGCAGGCAATCCATCGGGTTTGGCTTACATTCATTATTGACGACTATCAGATACATACTGTGTTTTACTCTTTGCTTTTTCTCCTCTGTTTTCTCAAGCATCATAAAACAATAAAAACCATACATTAAATTGTATGAAATACGTTACATATACTCAAATGGTGCACTTATAGTGTGTGAACACTAAAAATTTATTTAAATTTTTCGTAATCGCCAGTATTGAACTCAACCTCGCATCATTTCTATATATATATACCTAATATAAAACAAGAACACAACAAACTTTCTGGCATACACGATACATCTTAGCGCGTAAGATCGTATGTCAAATTGGTTTTCCCCTTCATTTACGTTCGGCTAATTACCTCTCCTATCTCTCTTTGTATTTCTCTACACAATTTTTCGTCATTGTCTTATCTCCCGTGATAAGTAAAACAGCAAGTCAATAGTACCAATGAGTGTTTTAGTGTGTGTATATATATACTTTTACTCTTTTACTGGGAGCGGCAGTTTCGCTTGTAAAACAAATTTCCATTGTATACAAAATGTAATTTCTCTTACAGACGGCGACGTGATTTTAAGGTATTCCATGTAGCGTGTGTGAAGGGAGGAAGAAAGGATGGTAGAACATAGAATAAGAATTCTGTTTATCCACTCTTGAAGAGAAGGATGGCTACCTGACCTAGGTAGAAATAGATAAAATGTCTTGTTTCATGCGTCACGTAGCTGCCAAAGTTACGTCCTACGATGCAGTGCCACGTTGGGTTGTACTTTTTATCAAATTCTTTTTTGATAAAGGCTGCAATGTCCTGCAAGAAAGAGCACAATATAGTACAGACCATTTTATATCGCAAAGTTCCCAGCACACTCTACAACATTAAATTCTACCGATTAGCAACTTAGTACGTATATGAAAGCATTATAGATTCATTTACTGTACACAGTCGTACACGATTGTAGCTTCAATCAATGAGAACAAACAACGTACCTTTTCGATATTATATTTTTCAAGCGCTTGAGTCGCACAGTCAACAGCATCCTGCTGCATCTCCTCCGACATGTCAGCATTCTTGATTACAGCCTTTCGCTCGGACATTTTAGCGGCTCTAAAAGTCACAGGAGAAGAGACAAATACTTTCACAATTCCTGAAGTTGGTTTACCAAGTAGAGCTGTCCAAATTTCTGTACATATTGAGACGCATGGCAGCTAATCTGTTGAATTATTTACTCTGATAGCTAAGAAATATATTATGCTTTATAAACAATTAAAACATTCCCCATGCTTTATTTTTCCAGCAATCCTCAAAGATTCTGTCTATTCGTATCAGCTGTGCTTGGTACACCAAATAAATCTTGGACATTACCATGGAATAGTTCAAAACAAGAAATCAGCTATAGGCTGTCTCTCAAAAGAAGAGATCCCAGGTTCATCGGTGGTCATAATAGATGATGGACATCTGTTACAAATGTTAATGTGTCTAAAGATTCTTCTTTTGAAAAACAAGCCTTAATAACAAGAATTCCGTTGGTAGAAGAGAAAGGAGTAAAGGAGAGTGCAAAAGAGAAAGGAGGGAGAGAGGAGATAGAGAGATAGAACAGATTTTGAACCTGGGCAGAGAAACACGGGCAATTTTGACAGTAGCGTAAACGTCATGTGCCGGCATGACGATTGGAGACTACACGAGAAAACATAAATTGATGTTCAGGTTATTTAAGGAGCGCGATATTCCGATTGGGGATCGCTTGAAAGGTAGCGGAGGCGAAACGCGGGAGGATAGTGTTTTGTCGATACGAGGCGACGATAAGAATAATAATCGGGCTGCACGCGATCATCGTAGTATCTTGCAGAGTACCGAGAGAAATCTGCCTGCCTTGAGTGCAGCTTCCACCAGCTTCCGGTAAGAAAATCCCGTGTTAAGTGGCGAGCTTGACGTCTAAGCTGCCTGTTTGCCCGGTCGGAAACGAGGAATACCGTTTCGAATGGAATAACAACTGGACATACCTGGATTGACACTCTCACCAGCGGACGCACAGTGAAGACGATGGTTCTATTCCACCACGGACGGTCACGCGTGCCTCCTTCTGTTTATTATTCGATGTGAACTTGATTTTTCCACACTGAGAATTTTCGTTCGCTTGAACCGGCAGCCCGACTATTGCTCGATCGAGTTCAAGACTGAAGTGGCTCGTGCCGCGATCCCTGGCTCGTGATTGGCTCGCGATTAGGGTCTTCTATCACGGTCTTCTATCAACCCGGCATGCCTCGGTGCTAGCAACCCGCGTAAACATGAATTTCAAGAAATCGATAAGGAACATTTTCAAATCGTTCCGCCTACTTTCCTTTTGCGATGCTTTATTCGAATTTCGGATTACTCGGCCACAGCGACTAGACCACTAGACTTTTTCAGCTGTATCGTAAAGAAGTCCAATCAGTTCCTATTAAATAATAACCTCGAAACAAATGGTTACAATATCTTATTCAAAGTAACTTCCGTTGGTTTACCGATGAAATTCCTGTCGCTGATCTATTGAAAAGAAGCTTTACCATATTTTTTAAGAAATGAAAAAACTATGTTTATCACAGCTTTTTAATGATCTAATTTGAATGATTACGTGACGAAAACATTTTCTTATTCATAAACTAACTTATAGTTGGAACTATTTCAGATTATTATTATGGAAATGTCTCTCGTTTGTCAAGGAATTTATTAAGGTCGAAACAATGCTAAGAACTGAAAATACTATGTGACACGCAAAAATGCGATTTATATGGAAGTACGAATGTAAATTAGGCCAATCTCGGAGTCAATATTTACAATGGCAATGTCAATGAATAATTTTGTAAACTAATATCAAATTGATATTCAAGATGGTTAACCTATTAAATAAAAATATATGCATCCCATATATACGTTACAATTTATCTTTTCTTTTGGTTTTTTATAAATAATATCATATTCTTAACTATATCTTTAAACAATTAACATGTTCGATGATCCATTCGATTTTGTCGACAGCGCAGAAGTTTAAATTAATTCGTTGGTCCTGTACAAGATGGCGTTATCATGCAGTTTCTGCGTTGACTCGCTGACTGCAACGTTTTTACCGACGTACGCGTGACATAGTAGAAGACATATGTATGCACGTAATATTGATTTCCGAAAATTATCCATTGAAAGAAATTTTAATTATTTTAGAGTGTTCCAGTTGCTTTTAATGATATAAACTTTTATTTTCTTGAGAAAAATTCATTAAAATTTGAATCAGATTCGGTATCCATTATTTTTAGTGGATTATGACGGACCTGTATGCATGTGTGTGTATTTGACTGAAACGAGAAAACTGAAGCCACGCATGCGCGATGATTTTCAAAGATACTGGGGACGAGAGGAGAGAGGCTTTATCAGGCTTTATTAACCGGAATCCAACAGCGAATTTGTTACATTTGTCAGTAATTGAGTTCTGTAGTAAGGACTACGCAGTTTTAATATTAGTACCCTCGATTAGAATGTTCTAAAGTTTCACGCAACGAAACAGATTATTAAGTACATTAAAAATGATCCGTCTTCTTGTCTGTTTGTGCGCTGTCACAGCGTTGACTAATGCTGAATTTATCAGGTAAGTACAGTAATATTTAAACAAAGAAAATAACAGTTCGCTATACTTTTTACATTTTTTGTCAGTAATAAACAATTTCGATTAATTTGAAAGTATCTTATGTTACTTACCTTCTCCTAAGGATTCCATTGCATAAAATGGACACTGTCCGAAGTCAGTTGAAAGAATATAATACAGAACTTGCACAAGTACGTCTTGGATATTCATCGGTTGCTGTACCAGAGCCTCTTTCCAACTACCTTGATGCTCAATATTACGGATTGATTAGCATCGGCACCCCGAAACAAGACTTCAAAGTAGTTTTTGATACTGGTTCCTCAAACCTTTGGGTACCCTCAAAAAAATGTCATATGACCAACATCGCTTGTCGTAAGTGTACTTAAAAACTTGACCTTTATTTTAACATCGAAATTTCACTATAGAAAGGTATGTGTCCGAAAGATTCAATAGATGACACTTTCGAACCATAATATCAACGACCTTTGACTGAATGATAAGTTATTAATAGTCTACATAGAGATAGCTCCAATTGTGTTTATATATACAGATGCATTTGCTGAAACTGTATACATGCGTATATACATACATGTGTGAACAAATAATAAATCAAAATCTATAAATTCTTCCTACAATCACCTATTGTTCTGCTATCATGTTCATTAAATTCCATGCATTTTTATCATGGGCACTAACAATAAGATTAAACCATTCAATTGCTGTAGTTGATACCATTATTTATGTTAATATTTTTTCTATCTCAGAATTACATCATAAATATGATAGTACCAAATCATCCTCCTACAAGCAAAACGGTACCGACTTTAACATTCGTTATGGTTCTGGAAGTCTTTCTGGTTACTTATCTACCGACGATGTAGATGTAAGTCAACAGATCTTTTTACCTTTCTAATTCTACAATACGTTTATTCTCCACGTATTTAAAATAACAATTGTCTGTTACAGATCGCTGGACTAACAGTTAAGGATCAAACATTCGCAGAAGCATTAAGTGAACCTGGTTTAGCTTTTATAGCTGCCAAGTTTGACGGTATTATGGGAATGGCTTACTCTACAATTTCAGTGGATCATGTAACACCAGTCTTCTATAACATGGTTAAACAAGGACTGGTGCCACAACCTGTTTTTAGTTTCTATTTGAACAGGTATTGTATACACATATGCTTCTCTTAATGTTTACTTTTAAAGAAAAAGAAAGAAAACTTAAATTTTATATCTATGAATTTGTAAATTTAGAGATCCTAATGCCCCCGTGGGTGGAGAGATGCTCTTGGGTGGTTCAGATCCAAATCATTATAAGGGTGATATGGTTTACGTTCCTGTAGACCATAAGGGTTACTGGCAATTCAAAGTGGACAAGTATGTCGTTCATGAAAATTTATAATAATTGTAAAAAGATTATCTTGTAATTTAAAATTTGAATTGCAGTATTAAAGTAGGAGATGATGTTGCCGTATGCCAAAACGGATGCGAGGCTATTGCTGATACAGGCACCTCTTTGATCGCCGGTCCTGTTGAGGAAGTTAAAGCTATCAATAACAAAATTGGTGCAACACCGATTATAGCTGGAGAAGCTGTGGTAAATGGAGAACCTTACATATCAAATTTTCATCTACCCTAGGATATTACTCTATCATTTAATGTACACAGGTTGACTGCGACTCAATTCCCACCTTGCCTACAATAACATTCACAGTTGGTGGTCATGCATTTTCGCTGAAAGGAGAAGACTATGTCTTAAAAGTCACACAACTTGGAAAAACAATCTGTATGAGCGGATTCATGGGAATGGACATTCCTCCACCAAGTGGCCCACTATGGATTTTGGGAGATGTATTTATTGGTCGTTACTATACCGAATTCGATATGGGAAACAACCGCGTTGGATTCGCTGAAGTTAAATAGAGATAATAATTAACAAATACTTCTACATTATGTATATTATCCGCGACATATGTTTTATTACGTCTGATAATTTTTTCTGTTCCGCATATTGGATCAATTCGTTATTTCCTGTTCTTTGTAAAGATAGTGAAATACTAATTAGGCGGGCTAGATAAGCAGAAAAAAATGTGCATAATTGTGAAAGGCGTAAATTGAATTCTTCTAATGATGAAACAATTTAAAAAGGACAATGCAATAAATCATTCTTTTTGTTTTATGTATTCTTTTTTTATCTAATTGTAAGTAAATAAAAAAAAATGTAATGTACACGATAATATGATTTCTATTACCATATTATTTATTTAATAAACAAGTTGAGAACTGCAATAAAAATTCTATTATTTATAATCTATATTTGCAATCACAGCCTTGTACAATAATATGAAATAAATTAAGTTCACAGACACGATGCATCGTAGAAAAATCATTTATAATTAATATAAAAAATACACTCATTATTACTCTCGTTTTTTCATTGCATGAATCGCATAGTTTATCGCTGTAGACGAGGTCCAATACCATTCATTCTTTAATGGATTGTAAAACATCCCATGAATTAACTTGGTCTTACAACCACCTGTAACAAGCATAACGGTTAGCATTTATCGACACGAATAAAAAGTGTTGTTATAAGTAACAATTATCCCACATGTTTCCAGTAAACATTGAATCTCAGTTGGAGTAATAAATTTATTCCAATCATGCGTCCCTGTTGGTATTAATTTCAGTACATGCTCAGCAGCTATGATACCTCCAAGCCAAGCTGGCAAAGTTTTATTCAATGTTGTGAGAAATATCGAACCCCCAGGCATTATTGTATTTATACAGCACTGTGGAAAAATATATATATTTGGATGAACCTACATAATGTGTTCTTCGCGTATATACAAGAACAAAGTACCTTTAAAAATAGTTCTTTGTCGTTTACATGCTCTAAAACTTCAGAAGCTACCACAGCATTATACTTTTCTTTATTTTCTATAGAAAAATCTTCTATAACAGTTTCAATGTAGTTCAACTTTCCATCTAAATTTGGATCTAATAAAGCATGTTCTTTAGCAGTTGCTATCAATTCTGCAGACGCATCGATGCCAGTTACTTCTGCTCCTATTCTAGCTAATGGTTCTGACAACAACCCACCACCGCACCCAACATCTAAAATTTTAGTACCCTCTAAGGGTAAACAAGGAGTGTCCACTTTTGCTCCTGTATTAGCTAAACCATCCCGAACAAACTGTACTCTGAGTGGGTTTAATGTATGCAGAGCACGCATCTCGCCATTTAAATCCCACCATTTGTTACTCAACTTCGAATGAAGTTCTATCGAAGCGAGATCAACGGTGGATCTCTTAACTGTTGCAGATTTGCCTAATTGATCAATTTCCTCGGTTAATCTAAAACAATGAATTAGAGAATAATATAATGTATTGTGTACCCCTATCGCAGTCTTAATGATGGTATAAATACTATTAGAAAAAGTTTATAGGTTAGATACCTATTCCGAAAGACATTCCCCGTGCATACAGATCGAAACGGCAACAATTTCAAGCTTCTCATAATTCTTGATTTTTAAATTACCATAAAAAATTTAGCAAACGTATGACACGACGGTGCCGACCAGTGTGAAACAAAAGACAATTTATTAGGCGGGAAGCAATCATATATCATACTGATTACACTGGATTGTACACTGTCTCGGCCATATTCGCATCGCTGTTATTAACAGTCTATTAATAACAAATCGCAGATACTGTAGTCATCAAAATCGATTCAGAAGCAGCATCGATCAACGAACAAATAAGTCGTGGAGGTCATAGTTCGAGAAGTTTTTATCGATTGTGTAATAATTAACTTAAATTTTTTACCGCCTTTATCTGAACCACTTGAAACCAGTCAAGTATTACATACACGAAAAAAGAAATATTAACTACAATAGATTGCTATCATTTACT